TGAAAATTTCTGTCTACACAAAAACTGCTTTACAAATGTTTATAGCAGCCCCCAATTTAGAAGCAATCAAAATGCCCATCTTCAGTAGGAAAATGTGTATACTGTGGTACAGTTATACAATGCAATATTATTCAGTGATAAGAAGAAATGTTATTAAGCCATAAAAAGACATGGAGAAACATTAAATGCATTTTGTTAAGTAAAAGAAGCCAATCTGAAAAGGATACAATTCTAACATTACCACATTGTAAAAAAGGCAAAACTATATAGTTGAAAAATCAGTGGTTACCAAGGTTTCAGAGGAGGGAATGATGAATAGGTAGAATGCAGGATTTTTAGGGCCGTGAAACTATGTTGTGTGATACTGAAATGGCAGATACCTGATATTATACATTTGTCAAAACCTATAAAACGGTAAAGCACAAAGAGTGAACACTAATGTAAACTGTGCATCTTATTTAATGAAACTCTATCATTACTGTTTCACTGATTATAATAAATGATCCATACTAATTAATGCAAGATGTTAAAAGTTGGATAAACTGCAAGGGTATGGAAGGAAAGGTGTATGGGAACTCCCTATACATTCTGCATATTTTTTTATAAATCTAATTATCAATCCTACTAATAACAAAAAAAAGGTAATCATGTCACATTTTATAATACTTTTAATTTTTTAAGATTTTTTTTAGAGAGAGACAAAGAGAAGGAGGGAGGGAGGGAGAGAAACATCAATGTGAGAGAAATTCATTTATCTGTTGTTTCCTGGGGACCCAGCCTGCAACCCAGGCATGTGCCCTGATCCAGAATTAAACCATCAGCCTTTCAGATTGCAGGCCGGTGCTCATCCCACTGAGCCACACCAACAGGGCTTTATAATACTTTTAAATGACTGTTACCCAGAGTAGCTTGTGAAATTAATGAAAGCTCTATTATAATATTGTTAATTTCAAAGAAAATTCTGTTTAAGGTGCATACATTGAGGTAATTTAGTTACCCAAGGTTACTTATTTACTATACATGAAGAAATTTTACCATAAGGTTTTTTCATTATCTATAGGGTCCAAGATCGTATTGTTGGATGTGAAAAGTAATGGTGAACATGATCTTAATATTAAAGATGTAGTATGACCCTAAATTTCTTGACAGGGGTTATGCCTTATTTATATGCATATACTTTTAAAATGTTTGTCAAGTAAATGATTTTTTTTAAAAAATGAATTTATATATTAGTTGTATCACGATTCTTCACTTAGTTCTTTCCATTGATTTGTCTATGTGGTAGTCATTATTTCTCCTCTTAGACACCATTGAGCAAAAAGATAATTATAAGACTTATGTACAAAACAAATTCTTTCATTTACCTTGGCTAAAAATTTTTAAAGGAGTCAGATGCTATAAATTAGAAATCCAAAGAAAGGGAGATCAATTGTCATGGATGTTTTAAGAATATAAGTCTCACAACAAACCATTATATTTTTTTTGTTAAAAATGCTTTATTTACTATGGTAAAATACATGTAACTTAAAATTTTCCACAGTTAAGTGTGCCATGAAGTGATAATTATTACATTTATAATACTATGGAGCTGTCACAGCTACTCATATTTCCTAACTCTTTAATAATCCCAAATGGAAACCCAGTACACAGTAAGCAATACTCCACCCCTAACCTGGAACCTCTAATCTACTTTTTGTTTTTATGAATTTGCCTAGATATTTCATATACTTAGATTTTTATTATCTATGATAATGGCATGTAAAATTTATGGGGAGATGGAAATAGTCAAACTCTTTCAATTTGGGAATTGTGCTCATGTAGCCTAACTCAGACCCAGGCTAAAGAGTGGTAGGTAATCCAGTTAGATCTGCGTACATACAGTATTCAGTAGGTTTTACATTACATCTTGTTAATGAGAGGGGAAAAAGAGAAAGGTTTGGTGACTATTAACAAACAAGTTGTTATAAACAGGCTGATCAACACTTATTTAAGCCCCATCACAACTTTTTGAATTTGCATCAAGGTCTGTCCTAAAAATGGTGCACACCAAAAACAAATTCCTGTAATGTTGAAAATTGTTTGATATAATAAATTCAAAAACTCCTTTTTAAATTTGAGATTTTCTAGGAAACTATATTGTTAGAAAATGTATTGTGGAAAACTGTTGTTCACCTAAACTGTAATCTATGTTGACATAGGAGGTTAATTTTCCCTTAGTAATAATTAATTCATGACCTCACTGAGATGGCATGAATTAACTAAACAAATATAATTAAGATTGTGTAGATTTCCTTAAAATTAGATAACTGTCACTTCTAGTTATAAAAATTAACATTACAGATAAGAAGAAAATCATTACAAGTTTACAATACAAAATCTCAGTTGACCTAAATAGTTGGGTGTACTGATTGGAACATAGGCAAGTGGTCTTACTTGGAAATGTAGAGTTGAGATTTATAAAAATTTAGAGTAGTGACAGAAACTATGTCTGGGATAAGATCACTCAGGTATTCAGTGGCAAGGGGGAGGAGCTAGACAGAATTCTAATACCTTAATTTCAGTGAGAAGGGGCAGGAAGAGGAGTCTATGAAAGAAAATAAAAAAGAATGGACAGATCGATGTTGCTGAAGCATTTATAAACTTCTACTGTAACTTCTTCCATCTCACTATAATCAATTCCTTTTGTCATGTCTCAAAATTGAAAAACTAAAATGAGAATCCATGTGGTAGGCATACAGATTTTCTTATCTAGAAAAGTTACATGGTAATGGGAGGGAAGTAAGGAGGGTTGGCTGGGTGGGCTGGAATGGGAGTAAAAGGGAGAAAACTGTACTTGAACAATGATTAAAATAAAATTTTTAAAAAAGTTACATGGTATAAAGTTAATAAATAATACCAAACTGAAAGTAAGCATGGTATCTGGCTTTTTCTTATAGCCTTTTTGTATTGTCTCTTAACTGCTGCTTAACCTCAGACAAGTTAGTCTCTTCATGCCTCAGTTCGCTCTTCAGTAAAAAGGGATACTATTGTTACTGATACTACCTACATCATAGTACAATATTTTGATGAGGAATAACTTATATACTACTTGTACATCATTTAGAAAAGTAATTTCCACATCGCAAATAATATCCATTGTTATTGCAACATAGTAACTTTAAATGAACAGGAGAGGAAAAGTTCAACCTGTTGACTGAAGTGCAGAGGCAATCACAAATCCCTGTGAAATTCAATACAAAAAAAAAATCATTGAAATAGAGGCATATTGTCTGTCTCATTATATTTGTTGTCTAATTCTTTCTGGATTTGTCTTGATTTTTATTTTAGATTTCATGACTGGCTGTATTTTTTATGGCAAAATGTGATTCTTTGAAACTGGAGAAATTAAATAAAAGGCTTACATTCTGAAAAGCACTTACTTATTCTGAAAGCTAGAACCCTAAGGGTTAGAACAGTGCCTGAACAGTAAGCACCAAGTAGATATTTACTGCACAAATAAAAGCTTCTGAAAGTATTCCTATTGCTGTGTGGTAATTTGATCAGTGCTCTCCCTACAACCCTTCAACATGAAGGAATCATGGAGCCTCAGAGTTGGGAAGAGCATCTCACCCAACCACCAATGGGGTGAGTGAACCCCTTCTCTAACAGTCTAGTAAATTGCCTGTGTAATCAGTCTTTTAGCTCCACCAGAGATGTAAAACTCCATACTTCTGGAGGAACTCCATATATATTCTGGAGGAAATTTTATTTCATTTTATAAAATATCTGTATTGTACAGAGTAAAAATAAGGTAGCACTACATACTTCAATGAAAACAAGTCATGGTGCTGTTTAAGTATACAATCAAATGCAGCCTCTTGTCTTCAGTTGCCAAGGAACACTTATACTTTTCTGCAACAAAGATTTTTCTTTACATGCCTTATACAATAAAAGCTTTATCAAATGAGTCCTTTACAAAGGAGGAAATTTGTACATTTTCCCATTTGCATACATACTGACAATTTTCTGTTACTTGTGTCAATTGACACCAAACAAATCTACTCAGGGTCCTCCCCTATAAATTTTGTGTGAGGATATGGAAATCAAACAGCAAAATGCAGAGAACTGAGGCTCAGTCTCCAGCCAACAGCAAGGTTACTATGAAGGAAGATACTTTGTCAGATAGACACACAAAAGATACTATGTATAAAGGGGAAAACAGAAGAGCTACTGGTTCTTAATAGCATTTATTCTCATAATTTCAGAATGGCATCAAATATCAAGCATCTCCATCATCTGTTGTCAAAATGCTACTAATGAAAAGGTAGATTCCCACTGCTACTGTTTTTTAGTGGTAAGGGAAACCACACAGCTGCTCTCAGTCAACTTGAAGTCATTTCAACATGATCATATTTTCAAAAATAGTTTTAAAAAACAAATCTGCCATCAGTTATCACTCACGTTTATGTTTTTTACACCATTTTCCTCATTCAGAAACAAATAATGATTGTACAAATGTTTGCCACTAATCTATTCAATAGCCCTTCACTTATCCATCTCTTCTTTTCAGATTTGTTTCTTTACACTGTATCTTTTAATAAAATATTGATTTGTATACCTGGAAGGGATTTCAACCACAAGTGACCTTTTATTGCCTTGATACCTTTACAACTTAGTGATATGCCCCCTTTCAGAGATGTCTTCAAATTGAGAATCTACAAACATCATATAATTGTAATATTTAAAAAAGGTGGCTGTGAATGAAAGGGTTAGTCCCCATATAATAAGAAAAAGCAGCTTAGAGCATTGAAAAAGTTGTGTCAGAACCCTATTGTATAAAATGGCTTAACACATTATAAATCTAAAGTTGTAAATTTCTACCTCTATAATCCCTCCTCCTAACCAAAAATTCCTATTCTCTGTTATCTTACTCTCCCACTCTTCTCATCTTTGATTCCCTTTCTCCTTTATTCTTCCTATTAATATAAAAAGAAACACACCAGTTGGCAAAGTATCATACATTATTTTATTTCACTCATTTAGCAATCTGTATTATTGTTCCCATTGTAGAGATACATTGAATCAGAGAGATTTAGAGATTCATCCAAGACCACACACTGCTGACTTTTGATACCAAGATAAATGGAGATGGCAGATGCTTTATTCTCATCTTACATCAATCATATAAAAAATAGACAATTTATACTTTTAAATGAAGCAAGTACAGTATAGCCATCCTCAGAACAGGAAGCTAAACTTTTAGAGGACCATAAATTGTGAGAAAATCATGTTCCGTATAATGAAGAGTGAAAATTGGAAGCTTAAGTCCAGATAGTGTAACCAACAAGGGGCCTAGTGCAAGGATCCAGACACACACTACCACCTTCCAGGCTAGTCACAAGGGAAAACAAGGCCCGTAGTCAAACAGGAGCAGAGCTTGAGGTAATCATAGGACAACATCCCTGGTAGCTGGTAACACAAGGAGGGATTTGGAGCATCCACCCTCAGAAAATACACTACTAAATTGTCTGTCTGGCAGGATATAATGCCCATTCCTTATTCTCATTATCAATGGCTCGAACCAAAGGTTAGCCAATGTTTCTTTAGTTCCCACCAAACCTTAGTCAATGTTTTCATACTTTCCACAACATATGCTGTATAAGCAGAGATCATAGTCTTTCAGGCAATTTCAGCTGTAGAGTAAGGAATTCACACTTAAGAATGACCAAAAGTTGGAAAAGTACCACCTCCATAAAAGACTACAAACTCAGTAAAGATTAGGGAAGAGTAAATGATTCCCTGAGAATAAATCCATTATTTTTATTTCAGAAAGGGCTTTCAATAAAATGTGTGCCTTCTCCTACCATAGTATAAAGCTGTCAGTAGGAAGCAGCTAACTAGCTAGGGAGTCATTTCCAAAAACCTCCTCTATCAATGTAGGGCCAGGTGATTAGTTCTCATCATTAGAATGTGAACTGAAATAATATGTATCACTTCTGAAAGAAGAATCTAAAAACGTAGTGTATATTCTTCATTATTACTTTTCCTATTTGCTAACTGAATACAGAAGACTCTAAGCATCTAGCAAATGCAAAAATCACAAGATGGAAGAAGTCTGGGCCAATGAATCACCACTTGATCAAAAATTGTGCTCTGATCAAGTCCTATGTCATCAAAAGACTGCTGAAATACATTTATTACAAAACCCTAAAATTATGAGGCTTATCAGCTAAATTACCCAGATCAAGAGAGAAATTTGTACCTAGCAATGGGTGTTGCTATGACCAAAATCTCAAATTTGTGGCATTAAATTTGTGATCAGGAAACAGACATCAGGAAAATTACTATCAGAGGCTAGAAAGATGGAATAGTAGTAAAAAGTTTTTAAAATACTGCCTCCAATTACTTGGAAAGTAGACTAAATACCTGTGCGCTTACAGGTTTATAGCAGTTAGTTCCCAACTGAGGATGTCCTTCACAGAGGACATTTGGCAGTAACTGAAACAATAAAACATTATGAAACTTTGTTATTTTTCAAGATCAACTCAACTGTTTATAATTCCACTCCTCATATCAGATTATACTATCTAATGTCACTCATACCCAAATCAATGAGTCTTTTATTTGCACCCTTTCAGCATGTAACCCTTAATTCATTCTTCCTGAAGTCTCTTCCTCTCCACTGTACATTTTTTGAATGCAGATAATCTTACTCATGTATCCCATATAATGCCTTACTCATACAAAGTGTACAATTAGTATTTGTTCAGAACACATTTGTTGAATGTATGCTGCAAAAACATTGATTCCATGGTCCTTAATCTCATAGTCCATTATTAAGAGCCACACATCACAAAAAGCACTCCACAATATAACAAGTCTTAGAGAATCTGAGACCTTAGAAACACTAGTTTTCACATTATTAGATGTCCCCAAAGACTGCTACCCTTTGGGCATTCTTTCACTCCCAGCTTCTTATTGCATGACATTAGTTACTGTGCAAACTTGACAGCTACCTTAAATAGGAAAAACAGATGAGGGGACATTTCTAAATGTATAGACTACACTATATTGTAATTTCTACACTACATTTCTAGTGTAGTTGGTCTCAACAGGAGTGTCCAACCTTTTGGTGTCTCTGGGCCACATTGGAAGAAGAATTGTATTGGGTCACACATTAAAGACATGGTAACACGTAATCACAAAAACATCTCATAATGTTTTAAGTAAATTTAGTTTTGTGTTGGGCTACATTCATAGCCATCCTGAGCTTCATGCAGCCCGCAGGCTGCAGGTTGGACACACCTGGGAGTTTAAGTGAAGGACTTTTAAGGAGGTTAGGGATTTAAACACAACACACTAAATTTTACTTGAGCAGCAACAAGGGTACCAAAAACAGAAACCACTTGTGGCTGTCCATAGGAAGGAATGATCAGAGTCAAGGACATATGTGTACATCAAGAAAGGCTAAGAGGAGATACAGATAAAGAAGTAGATAATTACCTTTTTTTTTTTCATTTCAGACTGAAGTAGATAAACTTAATTTGGCATTCAGTTAAAAATCATTTTAAATCTTTAGCCCATCTAGATGGCTCTGACATTAGGATGCTGATGGAAGAGATTGCTATAGGTGGGAAATGAAGCAATAATTTTAATTTCCTTTCTGAACTTAAACCCTGATACTCAATTGAAGATACAGATCTGGACTTCTGAAGAGTGACTAGAGATAGATTTGGGATCATAAGCATGCAGGTAATGGAAATGGAATCCCAGGATTTAGTTTTCTTCAGTAAAAACTAAAGAAAACAAAGAAGTTTTAAATGTATAGAGAAGCCAGCAAAGGGATGAATAAGCAAAATACATCATGTTGTATCCTTACATAATCCTTACCCCATTGTTAGCTGTTCTATATGAGCTTACAAACAAACCAGATGGGTTTTTTTCCCAAGTGTTATTTTCCCCCCTTGATTTCAAGATCCTAAAAGACAAGAACCAGTCTTCGCTTTTTTACATTTTCCTAAACCCACCACCAGTACAGTCTACACATACAGTAAAACTCAACAAATTCGATTCACTGATTTTTTGAAGGTTAAAATGGTGATTTATTTAAAAATGCAATATTTAATGCAAATTCCTAGCATTAAATAGGAATGTTTAAAGTAAATTTACAATTTTGTGTTGGGCTACATTCATAGCCATCCTGAGCTTCATGCAGCCCGCAGGCTGCAGATTGGACACACCTGGGAGTTTAAGTGAAGGACTTTTAAGGAGGTTAGGGATTTAAACACAAGTATTTGAAACTATTTCATGTATATGCAGGACTCTTTAGAATGATTCACTGAATTTAAAACAGGCGAAGAATTCCACTTCCCTCACCCATCTACTCCCAAAAGGCCCAAAAACTCTCATGAAAAGCAAGTTTCTAATTTTCTGCATCAACCCCTGCAGGTAAACGTACTCTTACAGAGTTCTTGGCTACTAAGAGTGTATTTTAAAGAAATATTTTAATGTACAGTTGGTTTTCTGAGAGATGTATCAAGGCCCATCAATGGAGAAACCTGGCAAGGGTGGTTAGAGAACATGTCTATGACTAATTATTTAGTGGAGAAATGGAAAGCCAAAGAACCACTGGTGGCACAGTAAGAGAATAAGAATTGCAAACTAAGAATTTTTGACTTTGCAGCAGATAAAGTACACAAGCATCTTCTGGCATCAGCCATTAAATTGTTCCAAATACGGATGAAACATTTAGTGTGGCATTAACTTCTTAACATCCCATAACTGAAAAAAGGAAAACAAAGGGGGATTACAGGGTCCATCTATGAATGAGCAGCACATACTAGTCAGCCTGGGGGTAGGATGATGAAACCACATCACTACTATTTTGGTACTAAATGAACCTCACTGCAAGCCACATATCCCTTGAATTTTTTTTCTTCTCTGACTACCTATTTGAAATTAACCTTTTCTTTCTTCCCCATATCTTGTTTGGGGGCTTGATTTGCTCCTTTTGATCTCTGTGGATCTGAGTATATACATGCTCATGTGCCTTTGGTAACAATGCTTTCCAGTATCTTTGGTCCAGCAAGACTTCCATGTTAGTACTGTACTGTGCCAACTTTTTCAGAATGCCTCATGAACTAAAGAGAATGTTTGCTGAACTTTTTCCCAGTGGTGGGTTTTAAATTGGGAAGTGAGAAAGGATCCTCATTGAGCAGAGCTAACCTGAAAGCAGATGATGCAAGTTTCAAATGCTGTTAGGTTGTGCATAAACAAGGAATTAGAGACACTACATAGTTGTAAAAAGGAAGACTAATCTCATAAAAGGGTAAAGAAAAAGGCAGTTGCTGCCACAAATACACTGGAAAATACATTCAGTTAAGTACATTCAGTTAACTGTACCATGTGGTAGAGGTGGTGGCAAGGAATAAATGTTGAAGACTTGAAAAGGGTAAGAGGTTAGCCTAGGTTGGATAATACAGGTTCTGGCACAAATAATGCCCCTATTTTTCATTACAAAATCTTTTATTACAAAATCATTAAGTATGTAATTCTGTAACATAACAATATCACACTCAAGCACACCATATGATATTTTTTGTGAGATGTTCAAATTGCTGTCCATCTCTTGCAAGACATTCACATATCCTACCAACCACACTCAAGCAAGCCTTACTTCTACTGGACCCTATATAAGCGCAGGTTTTGGCATCAAACACCTGGGTTTAAATTCTTACCTGTAGCCAAGTGATGATCTTCAGCAATTAAAGAGTGTGAGCTGAGCATCAGTATTTCCTCATAATTCACAATTTGAGGATTATATAAGTACACTGCTTAGGACATAATATTCAATAACTGGCAGCTTTTATAGTTGTTTAAGGATAGAAAGGTCCAAAACAGAACTAGTGTTGGCAGCTTCAGAAAAGAGCAAATAGCTATAAATCAAAGAAAGCAAAGTTTCTCACAGGCTAGAGAAGAGTCGTAAGATTCACACTCAAGGCCACAAAATAGTGAACCTTTTACTAGATCTTAAAGTTTAAAACCACACAGCTTAACAGTTATGTTAATTGAACCACTAGGTGGCAATGATACAGCTGAATTTCACAGACAAGGTTAATTTTAAAACAGTGAGCAAATCCAGACAAATTCCAAGAAGCTTTTTAGTATTTTCATTTTAGAAAAATGAAAAGTCAATTTACATATGATTAATTTATAGAAGATATAATTATCTGCTTTAATATCTACGTTAACTTCTGATGTTTCTTTCCCTCTCTGCACAGAGGCAATTCATGCAACACAAACAACTTTCAAATTCTCATCACAGACATGTTCTTAAACCTGGACATACCATGAAGATAACAGAAATTATGGGAAGTGAAAAATCTTTTTGAAATTTTAGAATTCTAAGAAGGCACTATAAAATGCAAAGTATTTCAATGATAAAGTTAAAAAATGACTAATTCTACTTTTTAAAAATTTACTTAAAAAATTAGTGTGAAAACATTAAATATGGGCACACTTTGCTTTTAAATCATAAATTAAATTAATACTCACATAGGTAATGTTTTTTCATGTCTTGAATAAACATACTAAATTTCCTAAGCAAATTTATCAAAATTTTGATAAATTCTAGAATGTTTTACAAGTGTCAAAATAATAAATGATGAAATTCCTAAGAATCTGGCACTTTCCCTAATTATTTCTGTTCTCTTCATAAAACAGTTATAACCTATGGCTTATTAAAAATAATAAAAACTTTATTTTTTCTTTTCATATGTAATAAAAGGGGAATGTATGACAAGTTTGCTTTTCAAATTTCATGTAATATTAAGTACACAGTAAAAAAAAATAACTTTCAAATTCCCAAGATGTTCCCCCACATATAAGGTGGGAGCTCAAAAAACAATACCACATGTAACATTACAAAACCTGTACTACAATTAGTTGAATAAATAATAAACCTATACTGTTACCCAATCAAAAGAACCCAATTTCTTCCCTTTGTATAAATAAAGTTCCCCAAACTTCCAACTTCCAGTTTTCTACAAATGAATAGATTACAATCTTTTATATATCTGCTTTCCAATAGTTTTCTCACTAAGTGAGCAATCACTTCCTATATTGTATTTACTTTCATTTCCAGAAAAAATCTCCCCCTAGTACCATCCAAAAATTTTTCTAAGTTATTCTTGGAATTCATAAATCATTGTTTCCTTATGACTGAACTTCATTTTGAATTATAGATCACCCTGAAATCTAACAATATAGATATTTCCTCATACTTTCAGCACATACAGATACACAAAATAACCATTTAAGAGGGTTAGCACAAGATTATTGTGACAGTGGTTACAAATCAAAGAAAAGATTTTAGGAGAATGCTCAACTTTTGCTAGAAAATTTAGAGAATACAACTGTTATGGAAGGGATAATTATAGATCTACAAAAGTGAAAATGTGTATGTGTAAATTATATTCATACAGAACGAGCTTCAGATTATCTGCATAAGTAAAAGGATAAGAGACACAGAAGATGCAAAGCACAATCCTCAAACCACTTCAGACACATTTTTGTACCTGTATTTGATAGGACTGCCTGAGAATTCAGAACACACACAAAATAAAGCCATTATTGCAAAGAGGTTAAAAGTTATCTACACAGTCACCAAAACAAAAACAGTTGAGAAATGTTATTATTGACTCGAGTTGGTCATCTTCTGTTTATTTCTGATGGTGGCTCGAAGTTTACGTATCACCAGTCTATCAGGCAGAATCATATCACCTTGTTGTTCTAGATAATCCAATAAATTTTCAGTCCATTGGAGAGCAGCTGAATGATTGATATGTTTCTCTGGAATCAGTTCTATTTCCTCCTCCTCATTTTCACTGGATTCGTCTGTCTGGCCCTGAGCTCTTCTGATGATTTCGCTGTCAGTTAATACTTCATACCCTGGTTCAGTGCTATCCACTTCAAACCATTTTTCAATGTTCTCAGTAGTCACATTTTCCAATCCTTTGGTGTGTTGTAAAATGGTGGCCACAGTAGCCAGTGAAATATCTTCTTCATCAAAGTCCAAGCTTTCTTTCTCCTCTATGGTAGGGAGAATCTTTTTCCATGCTCTGCTAATGGTAACAGGCTTCACTAAATTCCATGCCATTGCTACTTCATAAAGTGCATCTAGCAGAGTTAGCTTTTTCCAAAATGATTTCAAGTCATTACCTTCTTCCAAGTTGTTCTGGAGAAGACCTGCACGATAGTTCCTCTTCATTGTTGCTATGACACCCTGGTCCGAGGGCTGAATCAATGAAGCCACATTAGGGGGTAAATATTTAGCAAATATTTGGCCATCATCTGACCTAAGGACATTTTCATTTGGATGTGTTGGTGAATTATCCAATAAGAGCACAGCCTTTTCCTGCAGGCCTTTGGATCTTAAGTGCTCTCGAACTTCTGGCACAAAGATCTTGTCAAACCACTGTCGGAAAATGGAAAGATCCATCCATGCACCTTTTTGGCTGAAATAAGAGACAGGCAAGTTTGAGGTGTCAGTTGACTTGAAAGAGCGAGGTTTCCTTGCTTTGCCCACAACACAAAGTTTAAGTTTGTGTAAACCTGTTGCATTGGCACAACACATGACAGTGACTCTTTCTTCAATTGACTTGTGCCCAGAGACAGTACATTTACCTTTGATCACTGAAGTCCTAGAAGGTAGGCATTTCCAAAAGAGTCCAGTTTCATCTGCATTGTAAATTTGTTCAGGCTGCAGATTCTCTCGTTCAATGAAGTCTCGAAAGTTGTTACAAAAATCTTCCACAGCTGTCTCATCACCATTTAATCTTTCATTTCTAATGTTAATTTCTCTAATGCTGTGCCGCTGCTTAAAACGAGTTAACCAACCGGCAGAGGGGTTAAAATCGCCATCCATTCCCAAAGCATAAAAGAAGAACTCTGCCCTTTTTGCACATATGGGTCCCGATACAGGATTCCCTTTCGCCCTTTGCTGGTTGAACCATTCCAGCATTGCTCTGTCCAGTTCCTCATACATGGATGGCTTCATAGATTTCCTCTTAGCCAGAAGACTTGTGGAATCAGAACTGCTTGCATAAGTTATAATCTTTTCCTTATTTTTTCTTATATCCCGAACTGTTGTCTCACCAATTCCATAAATCACTGCCAGCTGTTTAGAAGAACCTCCATCTTCGAGTTTCTTTATTATATCAAGCTTATCTTTTATAGTCAACACCACTCGCTTCCGTTTCCCAGACATGGTGAGGTTCTGGGGCTCTCCCCACACTCGCACTGAAACAGCCCACAAAATTCTTCTATCCTCTGTCGCACAGATTCAGTTGAACACGCTGTTACACACTCAGTCTGTCTGCCTTACCAGGAACTTGGTGGGCCTGAATCTGTCCCGGCTGGGCGTGGCTGGCAGAGAGACAACAGAGGAAAGTGAGAGGGAAGGAAGTTTGAGGGAAAAGGCCTTTAACTTAGGTGGGCGGTAGGGGAGGCCCCGAGTCACCGCGGGTAACCCGGATTACAAACATTTGTTTTATTCCCCCAGTGGTCGCGGGAAAGATTGTGATCGCAACGAGACTACAAACCTCCTTCACGCCCAGATACAGGGAGACACCCGTCTCTAACCCTTGCCACACCCCAAAGTTAAGGCACAGAGCGGAAGAGGCAGGGAGCCGGTACTGGGCTCCCTTCCCCAAAGGGACGGTTGTTTGACTCCTTCCCCGGCAGCCAGCCCTTTCCACCGCAAGCCCCACTTCCCCGCACTGGGCTTGGCCCGGACAGTCCTCCCGGTCCCTCAGAGCCCGCCCGGCCCCTCTCCCCACCTCAGATGGAACCAGGAACCCGCACCACTCCTAGACTAACGCACAGCGACCGCTCCTCCCACAGCACACGCTCCCGGAAGAAGCCCCCTCCCGCAGCCTGGCCCCGCCCCTTGTCCCTCAGAGGAGGGACTTCCCCTCATCTCCGGAACACGCAAGCTTGTCTGAAGTCCCTGGAGCTAGGGCGAAGGCGGAGGCAGAGGCGGAGGCGCTTTGAAAGGTGCGGGCTCGCGGGCCGCGCTGGCCAGCTCAGGGCGGAGACTGGCTGGGGCGTCTGCTCCAGTTGCTGAGGGTTTAAGGGAGGGGCTGAGGAAGCCGCGCCTCACTGTAGGCCTGTATAAAAATTCCCGCGCTGCCTTCCTGGTGGGTGGAACAGCCTTGGGCGCTACCTCCCCGGGCGGGGCTGCGCTGCAAGGGGCGGGGTGCACAGTCTTTCCGCGTTGGGGAGCTGGGCGGGACTGTTACGCGGACTTGGAGCTGTGGTTTGGCGGGATTCTGGCCTTACCCAACCCTTGTTTGTTTTGTGAGTGCGGAGCTGCTCTAAGGTCCAGGGATTTGTGTCGTCCCGCGCTCGTCACCGAGAAGGGTACTCCTAGGGTCCAGGTTCCCTAGCGACGGCGCTCCTCCCTCCTAGGGGCTGAGTAGCGGACTGGAGGCTTGCTGCTCTGGTATCTGCGTCCCGCCCAAGAGCCAGGTTTGTAATTCTGAAAATAACTCAGGTGTTTAGTCCCCAGTGAATCTGTTCCTCCTTCTGCCACTCATCCCTGCCGGATTTAGCGAATTACCTTCAGTATTACAGGTTTTATTGAATACTATAGCTGTCCGAGACGCAGGAACCGTTCTGAGAAATTGTGGAGTGTTGGACCGTGGTCATAAGTGGGCGGACATTGGCTGTCTTGTCTTTTTGTGTTTCTTCATATTTTCCTATTTCCTGTTCTGTCGTGTGCTGCTCGTTTTCCCAACCAATGGAAGAAACATGATCAATTTATTTACTATAGCCCTTAAGTGATGTATTATGCTGACTCGGTTTGATGTCCGTAGCAATTTCATCAGATTGTTAGCTCCTCGGGAGCAGAGACCCTGTTGTTGATTTCTTCTAGTAATGCCACAGTTCGGGGTTCGAGTGCTGGCACATGGAATGCATGAAATAACTATTTCTTTGACTTATTAAGGTTTCCCTCTGAACTGTCATATATAAGCAAACATCAAGGAGGGATGATGTTTTACAAATAGGATTGTATCCCTCCTGATGGAATTTCAAGTAACGGCTAAGGTTTTACTGCGCTTCAGATCATAAAGTGTAAACTGCCACCTACATTGTTTATAGGTCAAGTAGGTGATTCCTAGAATGAATCTTATCTTGAGGGTTAATTAATCTCGAGTATAGAAAAAAGGGAATTCTGATGAGAAATGCGGGCGACATTAAAGTACCCTTTATTAGTTTTATAGTTAACTGGTAGAGAAAAAACACAAGCAATACGGATTATCGCGTTTGCATTCTTTGGCAGTCAGCATAGCTATGTAGGTGCTTCTCACATGATAACCAAGAAGCACAAAGGTGTCATAATATTGATCATCCTCATTCACTTATTTAATGTTTTATGTTTGGAGTCTGTTTTTTTTTCTTCTTGTTACCTAAAGGTAAGATGACATTTGAGAAGCTTCATTAAATTTTCACTTCAAGAAACTGAGTGTATACTCAGCATTTATATAGATATTACGTCCATTTGCATGTATTCTTCTTTAACAACCAAGAAATGTCTTTCCCATAACCTAGCTTTACCTTCTCATTTCTCTCAGGTCCAGTTCAGTCCCTTTTCCTTCTGTCATCATTCTTTCACCCCTCCCTCCCAGCTAACAAAGTAAAAGTATCCGCAATTTTAAAAATAAGAGCCAACCATATTCAAATTATCTTTTTCAGTAACAGAATTTTTGACATTATTGATCAAAACGGTAATTTTGAAATATGAGAGACCCTGAAAAGTTGGCAGTTGGCCAAATAAAACTTGACTTATTTTAATTAAATAAAATGTACCTTCTCAAACATTCGACACTAAAGTTTTCCAAAATACATTGTTTTCTCATTAGAAACTGCATTATTTTGAATTTTTTGCTTTTTGACCTAATGAGAGATCCCTTAAAATTTGCAATCGGTGTAATCAGTAAGATGGTAGAGGGAAGTCTGCAAATTTTCATCTCTCTAGTACATTCTTTTTCCTATTGGATAACTAATTTTCACAAGTTTCTGGCCTAACACACCAGAATTCAGTTACATAATTAAAGAAGCATGTTTGTAAACTTTAAACTATTTTAATAATTAATTTCTGAAACTAAAATTTAGCATGGATAAGAAATAAAATAATGACCTTTAAAGGCATAATTTTTACTACCTTGTACAAATATAATATTGACAGCAGTCATTTGTGTAGCACCGGACCCGGCATCAGGAGACCTGGTTTCTAATCCCTCCTGTCTCACTAAAAAGCTGTGTGATCTTGGGTAAGTCATTTAAACTCTGTGTCCTTGGTGTAGATTTTTATAACCAAAGATGATCATATCTTCCTTTTAGGATTATTGTCAGATATAAAATATTTATGAAAATGCACTGAAAATTTACTATATGAAAAGGGTTTTTTAATAGCTTAATTGTATAATCATTGGTATTTTTATACTGTAACATCTTAATTATTTTATCATTGTTATAGAGTCATTTTTTGATACTACAAGTGTCTTTTCGAGCATGGTATAGTTTTGTAAGATAATCCGGAAAGATATATATGAAACCACTTTTGAGTACTAATAAAATATTTCACTTTAATATTCCTATTGCCCATGTTTGCTTTAGTGTATCTGCTGAAATCATATTTATTATTTGTTTTTGTAACTTGTTTTCATTATTTTCCCCATTCAGATTTATTAGAAAGCCTTACATTCTCAGTACAGTGTAAACCAGATACACAGTATGCAAATTTAACTATATGTGCTAAAAAATACTGCTTTATATACTACATGGCTTCAAAGTATAAGATGCTAAGTTATTTGGTACTTAATAAAAAGAAAAAACAGCAATCTGCTTAAAACATGGAGGAGAAACTGGGTAGACATATTTTGAAGCAGTATGGTATACAAAAAAAATACAAAACACTTTGAGCAACATATTTTTTAAAGGGTAACTTTGACCACACACGGTTTTCTTCTTTGCTAATTTCAACATAATAAAACTTCTATAAGAAACAACCCAAGTGTAATTGTAAATAGCAAAATATTTGATCTATTCACTAGGATTTGTTAAATTGCTGTTACAGTGCTGAGTATAACTTTTAACAGTTACTGTTGAACTTCAGCTTACACTATAATTCTGGTGTATAATCTTAACAACCATTGTTCTGATTTTATATGAGTTGTTACCATTATAGGAGTAGTCATATTACCTTATAAATATACCAGAATTTGTACAATCAAATGAGTGGTTATTCCCCTCACTCATTTTGAGAAGCTATAAACTTGGTTCAGTAATACCATTGCTTATAAATTCTTTTAATTACCTTCTGAATTTGCAGCACATTTTAAAAATATCTTTAATGGAAGTTCATCTTTTCAAATTGGATTTACCCATATTTTGCCATGTATGATGCACACCCATGTTTTTAGCCTGAACTTTCAGGAAAAAAATCGTTCGTTTTAATTTTTTAATTCAGTATTTTATTTACTTATATTTAAAAACAAAACCAATTATCGTATTCCAGGGTATTGTTTTGCATGTTGATATGATTATTGCTTTCTAGAGTTACACTTTTAACACATAAGCATAAATAAAAGAATTAAAAACATTTTGTATAGATACAGAATTAGCACTACCCATGTATATTGTGCATCCTTATTTTTCCCTCAAAAATTTGGGCAAAAAGCACGTGTTATACACGGCAAAATACAGTAGTTTCTGAAAGCTACTTATGCAGTCTCTGATAATTGAGACAAGTGAATAAAGTCTGTATTTAAACAACTCGTTGGGATAAAAAAATGAAGTGTGGTTATTTTCATATATTTATGTATATTTTTGATGTAATGGTTTATAGAAAGTCTCTAGGAATATTCTGTGCCATGGTAGAAATATTGGAATAATCAGCCTCATAAGGTGATTTCTTTAAAGGCAATAGGCCTCAGTTAAATGCACAGGCTCTTATACATGTATTATGAAGTCAGTCTCATTATATTGTAATATTTCTAGTTTCCTTAGCAACCACAGAAGTATGTGTGTTACTGTTTTTGTGATTATCTTGTCTCTTTGTTCCTTTACTATATGCCTGTGATAATTTTAATGGAGTTCGTCCTTTTCTGATTCAGAAACTTAAAGCATTTATTTTCCTTTCCCAATACCATACCCTGCTTCACTATGAAACTTTTTTTTTTTTACCTGATAACGTTATTGATTTTTAGTAAGTTTTCTGTTGGATTATATTATATCTTAAACTTTGAGTGGTTTAAAGCCATTGCCATTTTACTAAATTATATAGAGACTGCAATCTTAGTGGATAGGTTATCTCTTACCTTTTGCACCACTATCTTTTTTATGTCAATTATTACTTTATAACTTCCTTAATATAAGTGGATTGATCCTTTATATTAGGATACATGTCATATCTCTATTCAGAATTCTTCTTTGCTTACAGGGTGAGTCATTCTGGTAATTCCACCTTACTTTTCTATACTGGTATCTTTTTTCTAGCATAAAGCCTTTTTTCACACTTGTTTTGGTCACACTTATATACTAAACTTACTGTGTTCTTTCTCAGTGACAAAGTTTTGACTGTACCATTTTTATCTGCCTGAATCGCTTTTTTCTTTCATTATTTTTGTTCAAATATAACCAGTCCTTTAGAAGTCTATCAGATCATACCTGTTCAATAAAATCTTTACAGAAATACTTGCTGTTCTAATCTTTCTACATCTTCACACTTCTATCAGTTATTTTTATCATTCACTTGATACTAAATGAATACTCTCTTGTACTTTTCTTATCATATGTTTATGTGTTTTACTTCTACACATGGATAATAGTCTTCTAAAGAATAGAACCGTGATTTTTTATGTATCTTTTTCAGCAAAACATATCATAATTTAGAATAGTTGTTCATATAATGCTTTTATAGATGTTCATTAAATTATTTGTTGAATAAATGTTCTGCCATCGTCACTCAGATATTTCATGTGATGTTACCTTTGAGAACCATTTTATATCAAATAAATAGTTTGTACTATAAATGCATTCATTGTTGTAATCTAGTTATCATTATTATATTCCTAATAACTTTATTTTGTAGAAGTTAAGTGAAAATGATACAAGTTAGAAGACATGAAACAAGAAAAAATTCTAAGACTCAAGAACATGAGCAGAAATCTCGAGTTGATTGGAGGCGGACTAAAAGAAGTATCTCACAGTTATTTAATAGTGATGAAGACCTTGATACTGATGAAGATCTTGATAGTGATGAAAATCTTGATAGTGATGAAGAGCTTGACAGTGATGAAAGTATTAACAGTGATGAAGCACTTGCTAGTAATAAGGCACTTGATAGTAATAAAAAGCCAGAAAATGAAAGAGAACTTAAATTAATTAAAGCTGAAAGTGAAGGAAACAGCTGTGAGCATCTCATTAACACAAGCAACAGTTCAACATATGAAGAAGAAAAGAACAAAACCAAACATAGTAGTATTGACTTACCAGATCATGAAAAGCACTCAAGTCAAGAGGATGATGATCTTAACAAACACACTGAACAAATAACAGAGGAGGATGTAGAAGAAGAACACATTAAGCGAGGGAAGAGAAAACGAATCTCCTCTGTGATGTCTGACAGTGATGAGAGTGACGACAGTGATATCCTAGTTAAAAAAGTAGGTGTTAAACGTCCACGTAGAGTGGTTGAAGATGAATGTTCTTCGGCAGAGATAGAAAATCAACCTGAAAAAACATCAGCTGCAAGAAAACGAGAACAACTCCAGAAACTGAAAGAACTCTCAAAACAAAGATCTCGTCAGAGACGCAATAGTAGTAGAGATTTTGAGGTGTGTTACATTTTATTAGTTTTGTTAGTGTTTTTAAATTTTTTAAGTATTTAGTGCTGAGTCTATACTATTTCTCTACTTATAGAATTTATTTTTAATGAAGTATCCATGAACATGTTTGATTACAATATTGAATCTAATACATTGTTTTATCATGAGCTTCAGTCTATCATTCTTTTAAAATTAAAAGACTGTTTTATATGGTATTTCCTGTTTGTACCTTCTACTTATAATCTTAATGTATGTTTTAAACAATTTATACCACTTACCAAGGTATGTTATTTTCTTCTTGATTTCAAATGTCAACATTTAATATGACAAAATTTTTTTTAAACTTAAATTATGAAATTAATTTTTATGGATCATTTTGGAGAGGTTCAAATTTAATCTTTTCATTTCACATCCATACTGACAATTTTAAAGGTGCAGTTTACTGAAAGAATGTGTTTTAATTGAATTAGGACTCTGAAAAGGAATCCTGCCCAAGCAGTGATGAAAATGATGATGAGGAAGAGGATGATTATGAATCTGATGAAGATGGAGATAATTATGTTATGGATGGCTTTGTAGTACAAGATGAAGAGGGTGATGGAAAGAGTGAAAGTCAGCAAGGAGAAAATTTGACTACATCACAACTGAAATTAGTAAAACAAAATTCTCTTTGTAAGTTAAATATCAAGAAAATATTTTATGACTGTTCTAATCATGATACTATGTCAAGCATGAAATCAGCCTGTTACTCTCATGTTCTAAATCATTTAGGATCTGTGATTTTATTTTCAGGTAACTTTAATTTATCAGTCTGGTAATAGCTTAGTCTAGTAGTTTCAGGAACCCTTTGTACTTTTAAAAATTATTGAGAACCCCAGATAGCTTTTGTTTCTGTTGTCATAGCTATCAACATTTACTATTGTAGAAATACAAAACAGAAGTTTAAAATATATTTATTAATTATTTCACTTAAAAATAACATTAACAAACTCATTAAACAAATAAATAACATTTTAATTAGTAACTATTTTTCCACCCAAAATGAGAAGACATTGTTTTATGTTTTGATAAATATATTTAATGACCAGCTTAATAGGAGGCAGTCATTGGGTTCTTATTTGTGCTTTCGTATTGGGTCTGTTGTGGCGTTCTTGTCGAAATAGATGAAAGCAACCTTGCTTCACACATAACTGGAAAAGGGAATAGTACATATTTCCAAAGTAATTGTGGATATTCTCTTTTGCCACAACACAAAAATTAGACATGTGATAGCTTCTTAAAGGTTAGTCACAATATGGAATCTGAAACAATATAAATGAAATTTTAGTACTTACTTATATTTCAATCCATTGGTCCATCTTGCACTTTGAATGGATCTTTTTACCTGTGCATGATTTTGTATCATCATGCATTGGTCATTTGAACAATACTGCTTCACTGGGTTATACAGATCTTCCATATATTGACACATTTCATGATACATTATTTTAAAACCACACTTGTTCATATTACCACCAGTCTCATCAGAAAATTCTTCAGGTTGGGAAGCTGATAAAAGTTTTTCAAAATTCTACACTTTACTCAAAAATGTTTTTCTTTTTTCTTTCTTTTTGGTCTTTGGCAACAAAAAAAATGATAGGCTCCCTTTGTTCTCCTTTGGGAAAATATTTGACAAATGCTAGAATGACTGTGGTTTGTCAGTTATTCTTTGAAGTAAACATGGTGTTTCATGACAATTAAGGCTTTTTCAGCTCTCAACTCAGTTTTTCCTTAAAGTATGATCGATCATACTAAAGTATGATCGATCATACTTTGGTATGCAGCCTAAGTACTTAATGCATATGTCCCATTTCATCCCGTTGAGTACTAAAAAGATGGATACTCAAGACTCAAGATTTAATAAAATTAATAATTTTGACTACTTTGTCAAGGAAATTCTTAGGTGAAAGTAGCCTTTTTACAGAGTGCATAGCAGTGATGGCTTCAATAATTGTAGTCTGGTGCTACTGCTATGTTAGGGAGCAGCTGCCTTACTTATAGTTACTTATGCACCATCAGGGAAAATCCCAACAGTGAAAACAGCAAATGATCGTCTCAGTGTTACTGCTTTGATTTGATAGATCACAAATGGACTTGGGAATTTACAAGGGACCACAGACGACTGGTTTGTAGAACCACTGGTTTTATCAGGACTTGAAGCATCACTCCATGAAACCTATCAGATTGGATATTAGAAACTTTTGTATTTTTGTGTAGTTAATGAAAATATAAATAATAGGACTGTGAAAATTTAGGATATCTTTAAGTATGTATTCTGATCCCTATAATTACACAAATTCAAAGATTGTTTTTATGATGTTTTACAACTTCGATAGAAACAGACTATTGGATATATACTTTTTTCCTTAAAGAATGCATTCTTTCCAGATTTTTTATGAGGGCAAAAACTAATTCTATGATGGTTTAATTTAGACCTCAGGATTTATAATAAAATAGTAGGTTGAGGCATATATCAAATTTAAAGAAATTAGCAGTATAGAGATGCCAATGATAGGCATCTATGTTTTGAAAGCTAATGACTGTTAGATCAGTAGGCATTGGTTCATCTACCACCTGGACATTTGAACGTCAAGGAAATACAATTAGGAGGTACCCTATTGTCCTGGATTATAATATCTACAATGTGATAGAACATTTGCTAAGAGGTACCCACTCATACCTACTCCTGAGAATTAATTAAAATAGAAGTCCAGCATGTAAGAACTATCTTATCTTCCTTCTCTATTCTACCCCTATGTGCTTGCTTTTGTTTTTTTAAGGGCCATTTTAGATTTACTGAGAAGTTGAGTGGAAAGTACATAGAGTTCCTATCTAACCCCTCACATACACACAACATCCCTGTTATTAACATCTTGCATTAGTTTGGTGCATATAACATGAAGAGCCAATATTGATACAGTATTATTAACTGTAGTTCCTAGTTTACCTTAGGGCTAACCATTTGTGTTGTATATTCTATGGATTTTTTTGGTATTTTTAAAAGTTTATTGCTAAATTATAGTTGATATACAGTATTATATTAGTTACAGGTGTACAGTATAATGCTTACACATATTATATAACTTATAAAGTGACCACGGTAAGTCTAATACCCATTTAACACCATACATAGTTATTACAATATTATTGACTATATTTCCTAAGCTGTATTTTACATCCCTGTGACTGTTTTATATCTGAAAACTTGTACTTCTTAATCCCTTTTACCTTTTTCACTCTTCCCTACACTACCATTCCATCTGGCAACTATCAGTTTGTTCTCTGTGTCTGGGAGTTGGTTTCTTTTTTGCTTGTTCACTTATTTTTTTTAGATTCCACACAATAAGTGAAACCATACATATTTTTCTTTCTGTGTCTGACTTATTTTACTTAGCATAGTACCCTTGAGGCTCATCCATGTGTCACAAATTACAAGATTTCATTAATTTTATGGCTGAATAGTACATCCTATGGGTTTTGACAAAGTATAGTGACACTACAAGTATGCACAATTACATATCATACAGAATAATTTTAGTCTCCTTAAAATCACCTCTGTTCAACCTATTCATCCCTCCCTCACTATCCTGAACCCCTGGCAACCACTGATCTTTTTAATGTTTCCATAGTTTTATCTTTAGCAGAATGTTTTATAGTTGGAATCACACAGCCTATAGAAGTGTTTTCTCTTGGTCTTTCTAACTGTCAAGTTCATAATTAAACTTAGGTAATCAGGGAATGATTTTGAGTTGTTTTTATAGCATATCTCTTCATTTTCCCTAAATAAGTTTGGAAAGTGAAGATTATTTGAAAACACAACTAGGAACTTTGGATTAGAAGCCAGTTAATCTGAAAAATGGAGATTTGTTCAATGACTAGAGAAGTCACTGAAGCAGCTATAAAATCAGAATAATTAAGCAATACTTCTATTTATAGTATTTATTTCTTAGCTTTGGAGAAGTGAACCTATAGCCTCTTCAGATTGGCTTCTTTCACTTAATATACATTTAAACTTCCTCCATGTCTTAATGTGGCCTGATAGCTCATTTCTTTGTATCACTGAATACTATTACATTGTATGGATGTATTACAGTTTGTTTATCCATTCACCTGTGGACAGATACATTGTTTCCAAGTTTTGGCAATTTTGAATAAAGCTGCTATAAGCATTTGTGTGTAAATTTTTTATGGACATATATTTTCAACTCATTTAGGTTAATACCAAGGAGCTCTATGCTTGCTTTTACTACTGAGCATCTCCACATTACAAGAAGATGTGATCCATTTTTTATGTAATACATATTATGTTGTGTGTTCTTAATTTTAACTTCTGGCTCTATTCTTACATATTGTCTAGATATTTTACTATATTCAGTGCCTTTCTTCCCTTAGCCACTATTCTAAATCTTTTTGTTCAAGTTTCCCCATAAATCCACAAAGCATTGTACTCAGGCTCTTGCACCCATCAATCCAATGAAATTGCTCTCACTAAAGTTAGTGAAACTAACTAAAGTTAACTAAAGTTAGTTAATTTCCTAGTTGCCAAAATGCTCTTCGTTTCATATATGTTAACCTGATATTGCTATGTGCTTTGCTACCAACCACTGACCACTCTTAATTTTAGAAAGTTCTCTTTCTTAGCTTCTGTGCTACCACTCTTTCTTGTCTTTCCCTTTATAATGTTGCTTTCCTTTTTTTTCATCTATCATGTAAGTATTGATGTTTGTAAAGGTTCCATCCTCACCTTCATTTTGCTTGAGCTTCAAGTAGTCTCTGCCCCCTAAGTTCAGCCCAGTCTATAGGCAAAAATACCCAAAGTTTTATTTTCAATGCAGATTTCTTCAAAGCCTACAACCCAATTTTTCATCATCTTACTAAACATTTTCATCAAGGTGTCTTTCAGACACCTCAGAGTATGTGCAAAACTAAATGACTGAGAGGTAGCATAAGTGAGTTTTGTGGTGGACGTAAAATTATTGTTTTCTCTGTTGTGGTGGTGGTTGCATTAGTGATACCTCAAAATAGATTAGTTCTCCGCCCCCCATTGTTCCAGTATGGGAAGAAAATCATAGTCTTTTTCCCTTCTCACCAACCTCTATATTCTTCTGTATGTATTCTGAGACTGCAGCTCCCAGAAAAGATGTGATAGAAAGTAGAGGGATAGACTAGCAGTGGTCCATTGTGTTCTAAATCTATAAATAGATTTACTAAACTTATTCACTTACTAAAAATATCATATATGGGTAGATAGGAATAACCTGCAGATTTGTGGGTACTGAAGATTATTTTTCCAGTACTCTATCATATGCTTAGAGTGACAGAGAACCAAACGATAGATAGAGAAGTACATCCCTAGTGCCTTGCTACATAAATACCTGCTAGACTGGAAGTTGGACTAAAAATGGACGTTAACTTAGTTTCCACCTAGCACTCAAAGGGAACCATTCTATCAACGCAGCACAGAGTATGCCCTAGAGCAATCTTACATGCATTAGTGTTAAATGTTCTACCCTAGAACTTTTCCTCTTGTTCTAGGATAAGTAAAAAGTACCAGTGAACTACTTTTGCAAAAGGCAAAGGTAATGTTGCTCTGAAACTCAGAGGAAGAAAATACCTGTGAAAAATTATATGAAACATTTGCTTTGTAATTTTTGGAAAAGAAGTAGGAAGTTATAAGGAAAGAGTCATTTGAGGTGAAGGAGTTAGGTAAGATAAAGATGAATTGCCAGGAAATTAAAAGTATAAAGTTAGAAATAAAATCTGTATTGAAAGTGGTAAAAAGCAGAATTAAGAGTACAGAAAATCTCACCAATGATATGTAGGTTAAACCAAAATTCTTCGAGCATAGAGAAGAAAGAAACTAGTTCTGAGGGAAAAGATGGTAAAAGAATAGAAATGATCCTATTTCACAAATTCCTGGGAGAAAAATAGAGAATAAATGGAAATCTAAAGGAAGAAAAAATAAAATACATTAGTGAGACACGTAAAAGAAGATTTGAATGTACTAAGAATCATACCATATTTTTGGATAGAAAAACATATGGACATGAGAATCTAAAGGTATGATAGAAGAAAATAGCGAGTTGTTGAACACACTGTTTATGCAGATTAAAGAGGTACACATCCCAATAAGGTGATGAAAATAGATTTGCAAAAAGACATGGGAAGGAATTTTTTTTTAATTACAAGAATAAAAAAAACATTAACAATTCTTTTTAGAACTATAAAAATGGTTAAATATTAGATGCCATATTAATGTAATATTAATGTTAGGAAAAAAATGTACCATGATTTCAACAGATTCTAAAAAGGCATTTGGTAAAATTTAGTGTCTATATCTAGTTTTTTAAGTATTAAAATTAGTAATATGAGCATATGTTCTTTACATAACAAAGAATATTTTAAACCAATAGCCAACATACATACAATGAAGCACTAGAGATGTTCTCTTTGCAATAAAGAACAAGACAAAAATATTTTTACTGACTTTGTTCTAGTGTTTTGAACTACTGAAAGAGAAAAGACATTCTTTAAACATAATGTGATTATATATACAAAAGCTGTACCTTTCTGATTTATCTAACCAAGGATAGAGAAGTTAGGAGTAAGGGTGTAAATAGACTATGAGCAAAAAGTAGGTGCAGCATGTATTTCCATGGCTTTCTCATGTCCTTTTTTCCCTTTGTGGGGTCAGTGAGACCTGTTAAGAGTAGAAAAAGAAGCCAGTTTCTTGTTCTGCCTCTGTCCTTTTACACTGAGCTTACACCTTCATTCCAGAAGAAAGTACAGCCACAAATCCCCCTATGAGAATATTTATAAACATTCTCTTGGTTCTTAAACAGCACTAGCAAGACCACACCCTCCTCAGGGTTGGGGAAGAAAACAGTCAGTGCCCAGGAGTTCTTAAACAATATCTCAATCAATATCTCCCTCCCTCTCCCTCTCCCTCTCCCTCTCCCTCTCCCTCTCTCTCTCTCCCTCTCTCTCTCTCCCTCTCTCTCTCTCTCTCTCTCTCTCTCTCTCTCTCTGTCTCTGTAATGTCCCAGGAAGCTCATTTTCTATAAGTATCTAAGAGAATCTTAGTATTTTGGAATTAGTAAAAGGCCTCAGAAAAATGACCACACTATCAATAATTACTTAAATGGTATAATGAGGGAACAATCCACTTACACTAGCAAACACAGTAAGTTTCTAGGCCTAACCTTAAGCATAGCTTTGTAGGAACAAGAATAAACTTAACTGTGAAATAGAAAAGAAAACACAAGGGAAAGGAGTGACACACCATGTTTCTGGAAGGTAACAAATAGTATGAGAAGTTATTTCTTCTGTAATTGTATGGTTTAACTTGACAAAACAATCCTAAAGTTCATTTGGGAGAAGAAAGGGAATTTGAAAATAAAGAATAAATCAAAAAGACTTGCCCCACCAGGTATAAAAAAAGTGACCACAAAATCGCAGTAAGTAAAGCAGTGTAGTACTGACATGGGAATGATAGCCAGATCAGTGGGAAGATGGTGCTGAAACAAAATCTTAGCATATATGTGAAATTAATGCATGATAAAGGATGCATGGGAAATCAACAGAATGACTAGACTATCCAATGACTGGGTGTGGGGAAATTGATTAACTGCTCTGGAAAAATCAACTTATGCACAAACACAACTATTGTTGGTTTTCTCCTGTGTCTTGTAATAATTTTATAATCCTGGAGGAAAGTTGTAAACAATATTCCTAGGATATTCCACAGAACTCTACCTAATAGAGGAATTAAAGCACTGAATAAAGTTCTGGAGGAGGTCTGATCCCTAATCCTGGTTCTGCCTCTGTCTAGTTGTGTGACCTTGGGTAAGTTATTATTATGTCATTTTTCTTAATTTTAAGATGAGATAATTTGAATTTTATTTTCTTCAATTTTCCATCCAAGTCTAAAATTTTATGTTCTGAATTATAATGATATCAAATCCCATGCAGAAGAATATCTATCTCTAGAAGGTAGTAACATGAAATCAAGAGTCAGAGGGCCTGGTTTCCAACCTTAGTACATTAGCTGTGTAATCTCAGGGAAGTTTTACATCCTCTCTGTTGCTATTTCCTCAACTAGAAATAAACTCAGTGTCATGATATTACCTAGTAGACTTGTTGTGAGAATTAAAGCAATGTACGTAAGTGCATAAAACAATGCCTGGCATAAACTTGCTCAATACATTTTTTGAAAAATTTGAGGTGCCAGGAGCATAATTATACCATCTACCCATCCACTCAAGTACAAAGAAATCAAGGCTTGCTTCCTGACTTTTTTGAAGGTGATTATGGTAGGAGAGGTATTATGTGATTAGGAAAAAAACTCCAGGTTGTTCTGATCCTCTGCTGTTTAAGTCCCAATCCTAAGGAGACACTTTCAGAGTCTTTGAAATACAGCAGCAGTTCTCAAACTTCAAAGCAGGTGAGTAACATCTAAAACTGATAAAAATTCAGTGAGGTAAAAATTCTATTCCAATTTATTTGATAGTTAAACTTAGGTGCACAGGAAATTGATTTAATTTTTTTCTCAGCATATCTGTTAATATTCCCTGAACAGGTTTTCCTTAATAAATTTAAGCAGTATTAAAGTTTAAGTGCATTTTAACACTCACAAATTATCTACTAACACTATAATATTATATACAGAGAGTGATATAGCCTAGTCAAAGTTGAATTTTTTGAAGCATTTCGTTTTCCAATTCTAATTTTAAAATACATTCATAAATAGCTATGATCAATTCTTGTAATTTTCAGTTAGGCATAGGTGCATATTATCTGCTATTGTCATTTCGTTCTACTACTGCTTTATTTTGTTTAATACTTCAATAGGTGTGTCCTTAATATGATGTATACTAAAAAATTCCCCAAAATTCTAAAAAAGGCTATATAGCTATACAGCCCTTTTAGTAACTAAAATATAAGTTTAAATGCTTCTCCATGTTAAATCCCAATCTTTGTTTTATTTCAACTGAAAGCAAAGCTCAGATTCACTCATGGATGGGTCTTCTTTTCCTTTAATTCTTTACCAAACATCTTCCACTCTTCCTAAAATACTCATACTGCTTTTAATATGTCTTCATAGATGCCCAGAACACAGCAAATGTTCTATTATGATAGAACATTTCTTGGGTCAAGGAAGGGGTTGTATTTGATAGAGAACATTTCCACAAGCCATAGTAAACCTTAATCCAAGAGCAATGGGAAATAGTAGGGACCTTCTCTCTTATTACTGCCTAACTTGTCAAACAGATGATTCCATGGACCAGATTGGGTTAGTGGAAAAGGAGGCTTATATATTTGGTATGAGAAAGAGTAGTAGATATAAATTTTCTAAATAGATGTGGAAAATTCTAAATATGGGGCAGCAGAAAGGGAAGTGGAGTTTTTATAGTCATTGGGATTCTGGCTAGGGTAGCAGTTGGACAATGTTGTATGTAACGTGTTTTAGAGGAAATGTATTAGGAGTTTAGTGTGTGTTTTGAACAATCCACCTATAGAAGTTTTTTCTCTTGGTCTTTCTAATTGTCAAATTCATAATTAAACTTAGGTAATCAGGGAACGATTTTGACTTGTTTTTACAACACATCTCTTAATTTTCCCTAAATAAGTTTGGAAAGTGAAGATTATTTGAAAACACAACTAGGAACTTCGGATTAGAAGCCAGTAAATCTGAAAAATGGAGATTTGTTCAATGACTAGAGAAGTCACTGAGGCAGCTATAAAATCAGATTAAGCAATACTTCTATTTATAGTATTAATTTCTTAGCTTTTGGGAAATGAACATATTCAGGAGTTTTTTTGTCTACTAGATTCTAATATTTATCTCAAATTAATTTCAGATTCTTTTAGTGACCACTATACTCACTTTGAAAGAGTTGTGAAGGCTCTTCTGATCAATGCTTTAGATGAATCATTTCTGGGAACATTATATGGTAAGTTAATCATATGAATGTACCAATTTTTTTCTTTTTCCAATTTTAAACAACCATATATAGTATATAACAAAACCAAGGAGACCCATTCTTAGGCCCCTCCTGTGGTTATTCCCTCAAGAATCAACTGCACCAAAAGTCCCTCCACTTTAAAAACTTGTTAGTGTTTATTATTTGTGAAATGTGGAAAGTACAAAAGAAATGTGTGACAGTCCCCTGTCTTTAGAGAGCTTACAGTGAATTTGAAAATATAGGACGCATACTCAAAACAGCAGCATAGTCAACACTCATGTGTTACCCTAGCCTCTCTAAGCTCCTTGAATTTCACCAGAAGTTATGCAGTTTTAAGCTTTTGTGCCTTTGCTCATACTGTTCCTCCTTAGAATATAATCTCTTTCTACCATAGATTTTTCAGGCGAATGTAAAATCATTTTGACTATTAAAGCTATCTATGAGCCCTGGCAAGGTGGCTCGGTTGGATTGTCGTCCTGTGCACCAAAATGGTGTGGGTTTGATACCTGGTTGGGGTGCATACAGGAGGCAGTCAGTCAATGTTTCTCTCTCACATCAATGTTTTTCTTGCTCTCCCTTCCTCTCTCTCTAAAATCAATTAAAAAAATCCTCACATAAGGATTAAAAAAAATTATCAATGACCCACTCAGGTAACATTTGTTACTCCCTCATTTATACTAGCATTATCCTGAGTATGGTGGTACTGATATAAATATACTTTTTATACGTACATTGAAAATGTATTTTGGCCTTCCTTCCTTCCAAGAGTATGAGAAGAAACATACCTTATATATACTTATCCCTTGCATCTAGCACAGTATCTGACACTTAATAAAGACTATTATAGTCTTTATTATAATAAAGACTTAATAAAGTATCTTGTGTTGAATATCAACCTGAGTGCCAAAATAAGATTTCATTCACAGCTCATTGAACAAATATTTGATGAGTGCCCACTAAAGGCCAGGGGTCATTTGAGGGCTGGGGATATGGTAATGACCATGACATGTGATTCCTGACTTGCATGTTTCATAGAGTCTAATGGGAGAGACAGAGAATGAGTAAACAAATTTATAACAATCTGATTTCAACTATTGATTAGTTCTTGGGGGAAAAAAGTAGGATAAGAAGATCAAAAGTGACAAGGAAAAGAAAGTCTATGTTAGATTGGTCATAGACAGTGTCTCAAGAGGTGACTTGAACAGAAGCCTGAAGTGAGAGAGGAAGTAATGTGTAGATCTAGCAGAGACCACAGCGAGTTCAAAGACCCTTAGGAAAGAGTCAGTTAGATGTGTTCAAGGAACAATTAGAGGGCCTGTATGGCTCTTTCTTCTCCCTAATGCTCTGATGGAATGATTTATTTTTACATCATTAAAAATTTATTTTAATTTAAAGTGCTTCTAACCAACCAACCTAAAGCTATGGGAAGAAATCCTTAAGTATTTAGTTATTTAAATATTTCATGAGGGCAAAGTGATTGGGATTTTTTGTTTTTGTTGTTCCCCTGAACAGATGGTACCAGGCAAAAATCATATGCACAAGACATGTTGACATCTCTTCATTATTTGGATAACCGCTTTGTTCAGCCTCGTTTAGAGAGTTTATCCTCTAGAAGTCGTTGGAAAGAGCAGTATAAGGTATACAGTTTTATTTATTTTGTAATCTCTGGGAGGCACAGGGGAAGTGGGAGACCTCTCAGGATTTCAGTGTTCAGTCAGGCTTAATAACCTCCTAAATTATTGGCATTTTTTCTTTTTAAATAATCAGCTCATTGTTTCTTACCACTTCTAAAGGCTATTATTTTAATCATTCACACTTAGTATCTCTGTCTAATAATTAAGTAGTTCCAAATGAAGAATAACTTTTGTATGTCCAAAGGGTTTAGCTCATGTCTTAAAATGAGGAGATTGTCTCACAGGGTGTTCATTGTTGTTTCAGAAAAGTTAGGGTTTTGAAAAACCGTGAGTTTAACTTAACTGGAAGACTTTTCAAGGAGAAATAGTGTGTGAATTTATACTGTAAATCTTCAAGAGGGCCATATAGAATGTAATATTCCCAAATTTGTCTTTTACTATGGGGCTCCTTTTCATGAAATACTGATCACCTCCTAGGATAACTGATTTCCATGACACCATTTGGAAAGTAAATGCCTCGGTTGTCTTTAATACCCTTTTCCACCTTAAGAGTTTGTACCAATTTGAGTAAAGCATCTTTTTAATTTATAAGATATATTGGATTCCATATTATCCTCTAGGTTTCTTTTCTATGATCTCTAATAGTAGAGAGTGCACTATATGATTTTTAAGGTTTCTTTTTTCTCTCCACGTCTAACATTCTATCTTCTAATGATTATTAGTAAGAGGAAAATGGCAAGATAAGTGAAGTTCAAGTTCCCTAACGTCCTTCTGGCACTTAAATCATTAACTACTCTACCTCATTTATGTCAGGAGATTTGGCTTCACCCAAGGCCTGTTCAGCATTAAATTACCTAATGATAAATTAGCCACAGATGGTTACACTTAAAGGCCAGTTACAGGATTCCAAAAAGAGTTAGAAGACTTCAATTGGGAGGATGGCTTGAGTTTAGGGTATCTTTTTGACTGTAGGTATTTTTAACTTCTCTAATCTCCAGTTTCTTCCTCAGATACAGAAAATATTTACTTATTTAAAAGGGAACTATTTACTTACTTAGAAAGCAGATAGTATACGGCTCTTAGAACATGATATAAATACTTTTTTAATAGAAAAAAAATAGCATTATTCATTGATCATTTAGTTTTGCCAAATAATTTACATGCAAAGTAAAGCATCTTATTTGGTCTTCAAAGTCAACCACATTAGGAAGTCACTATTATTTCCTCGATTGGAGATGAGGAAACTAGGACTGAGAAAATTGAGTAATATAAGGTTACACAGCTAGTAATGAGCCAAGCCCACATTTAAGCCTAGAAATGTCAGGTTTCTACGGTTTCTCTGATTCTGAAGCCCATACCATTATGCTATAGTATGATTTACCATACTATAGTAGGTTATGCTGAATTTGGATAACCCAATGTTCAAATAACTATAACATACAACAATATATTAGCTTAAAAACTTAGAGACATAGATAATTCAGTATGATCTTGGTCAGGATAAGCTAGATTATGCTATGAAAATTAAATAATGTGACAAAAAATAAACCTACAACAAAAATTGTAATAGCTTAATTCAACAGTTTATTTTTTACTTACATTAGATGTTCAATGTAATTCAATAGGAGTGCTCTGCTTATAGCCTCTCAGGAAACTAAGCTGATAGAGCTTTCAACTCAGCATGTGTTTCCCTGAGTAACACAGAAGCCGGAAGGAAAGTGGTTAGTCACCTGTTCACTCTGAAAGTCAGCATGTAAGTGACATGTGTCATGAAGAGTCATGAAATATGAAAAATAGTAAAGGTAGACAAAAGGCCGTGTTGTGAATCATCCAATGTAGAAGTGATCAGTCTGTTGGATACCTACTTAATATAGAATGTGAAAGTGAATTAGTAACCCTGCTTAAATATTTTCATTGTGTACAGTTCAAATGTTGTGGTAAAACCTAATCTATACTACTAATTTAAACAGTAGTCTCTCACACAGGTCTAGAGAGCAAGCAAGAATACTCAAGCACAAGTAATTACACAGCTTAATAAACCTTATTTATGAGTGCCAAATATTTCTCTTTGTTTTAGCTCAGCAGTTACACTGTCCATTTCAGTACTGGCCACCTAGCAATCCTAGTTCCAATTTGTTTATTTTCATAGTACTTTAGTAAGTAACCAACAAAGATTAAATTATTTCTGGAATATTTTGTTGAAAATATGATATAATTCCCACAATGGAGACTGAATGTGATCCTGTTTTTCCCAGTTGTTGACTAACCTAGATGATTTCATCTTTTATTATATTTTGAATTTTTGCTGCTCATTGTTTCCTATTTTAAACTAATTAACTCCTCATTAACACTAACTAGAGATGAGAGGAAGGAAAAGAAAACCTGTGAAAATCACTACTTCATAGTAACTCATGAAGGATATGAAACTAACTTTTTTTCTGGTCTGGTTTTTTCCACTTACTATTTCTAAGTTATAAATTCATTTATATGTAAAAATATCTTGTCAAATACTTACTGTGTGCTCAGTATTAAAATTAGATATATTCAATACCAGTGTTTGCTCTTACATTTCATCCTGTTATTATGATTCCTAATGTTCTTTTAATTTGGTTAGGTTCTTTTTGTTGTCATCCTTTTAATTCTTCATAGCCTAATTACATACATTTTGTTTATTTTCAGGAGCGTGTAGAAAATTATTCTAATGTAAGTGTCCATATGAAGAATCCTGAAAATTGTTCCTGCCAGGCTTGTGGATTGCATCGCTACTGTAAATATACAGTGCATTTATCGGGACAATTGTATAATACCAGGACTATGGAAACAGATGATTTCATGTCACATGATAAACAGGTATTCTTTTTCTTCTCCTTTTAGTTTTCAGTATTTGGAAATTTTATACTAAGCTTGCACAAACAACCCCAAGTTATTTTTTACAAATGGAGAAAGTGCTAGGAGAAGGGAAAAGAATACAAGGAAAGATAGTACAATTTTTGAATGTGAAAAATGTGTCTCACCAGCAGATTTACTCCTAATTCAGTCAGATGCTAAAATCCATGCACATTCTCTTTGGGTGAGTACACTTCACCCAAACAGGAGGGGCTTGGGGAAAGGGTATAGGATGAGGATGAAAAGGGAGGTAACTAGGGCAGAAGAAGCAGATGTCATTTGGGTCCAAAGGAGAATTTGACCCTAGTGGAAAACTGTGTAATCTACCAAATTCACAATCTGCAAGCAAATAATTGAAAAGGCCTACTCATCCCAAGAGGAGAATTGGAAAAAAAACATGCTCCAACCTAGTCTGTATCACAAGTGTGTCAGTCTAGAACAGTTATCACATACTTAAGATGCTGTTAATTTTTAATGAATACACAAAACTGAAGAAAATGTTGGAAGAAAAGTATTGATAAACAAGAGCAAAGTAGTTCAATATGAAGAGAGAAAAAGTACAGATGTAGACTACTTCTATCTCTTTTTTTAATCTATGTAAAAATATTGCATTTATAATATAAAACTTGATATTGAAAGCTCCCTCTGGTGAATCTGTATATTTGTGAAGGGCATATGTGTTTTGGAGACTAGTTAGAAACCCAAAGTTGACTCTAAATATTGCCAGTCAATTATTTAAATACAAAACACTATCTATGTGAATTCTGTTAGATTGGGTAGTATGATTCTTCAATATTATTGGGCAATAATTAACCAGGTCCCTCTGAACAATCTGAATTGCAAGAATCTCTGGAAAGTGTGTATGGAGTTAATGAATTCAGATGTAATCTTTAGTGCTTTACTTGGCAAGTTACTATAAAGACATGTTTCTTTTCTCAACAAAGTCATATACAGCTTTCACAATTGTTTAAAACTGGTTTATAACTTTATGAGATAAGACATCTGGATTCTTAATAAAAGTGATTTAATACTTTAAGGGTAATTTTTGGTTGTATAGATAAAAATATTGCTGTACATTCACTGTCTTTGCTGTCTACAGCTAATCTTGAAAAGGGGGGTGAATTAGAAAACTATTTCTTGAGTTCTTATATTTCTGTGAAGGCATAAAGGTTCTGTGTAAAATAGTTGATTCCAATATCTAGAAAACAGGTGATCTCATGAAATAAAAGCAAGGAACATTAATACACCAGTCACACAATGGAAAAATACAAAAGTTAACAAATATATTGGAAAATGATTATTTTCTATTTAAAGGCATATAATAACTAAAACTACCCCAAGATGCCAGTTAATAGTTCAAGTAGCAAAGTACTTTTAAATAAAGTGATAAAATGCAATTCTGTTAAGATTGCATTGAAACTAGCAATTTCATGGAAAGATTCCTAGAGAAAGAAAGGATGTGATATATCTTTTTAGGTACTAGATAACTATATACTTGTATAGCCAGAGTTATAGAGCTATACGTATTCAGTGCCTGTAAGTTTGTTGTTTGCAATGTGATTCAATAAAAGCAAATGACATAATCATGGAGTTCATTGAAGCATTAGTTATAATACTGGGTTGGCCAGAAAGTTCATTTGATTTTTTTTCTGTACAAATGCTGTAGTAGCACTTAGTTGTCTATAACTTCATTCAAAGCAATTTTGTTAGCTTGTATTGTGACAGCTGTCATATCAGCCTGCATTTTTTAAAAAAAAACTTATCCAAATTAGTGAATTTTTGTGTAGCCATTTTAATATTGAAAATGGAAGAAAATGAGCAACATTTTCAGCATATTATGCTTTATTATTTCAAGAAAGGTAAAAACACAACTGAAATGCCAAAAAAGATTTGTGCAGTGTGTGGAGAAGGTGCTATGACTGATCGAATGTGTCAGAAGTGATTTGCAAAGTTTCGTGGTGCAGATTTCCAGCCGGACAATGGTCTATCATCAAGTAGACCAATTGAGTTAATAGAGATCAAATGAAGATATTATTGAGAATAATTAATTATACCACATGAGAGATAGCCAACATACTCAACATATCCAAATCAGTGCAGTTATTGGTGAAAATGAAAAGTGTGTCTTTTTGGCCAATCCAATACAAAAATGGAAATAATCCAAATAAAATATTAGAGTGGGGATTTAATAAGCTATCATCATTTTGTCATACAATACAATACAACCACTAAAATAATATTTGAAGGTTATGAAACAATGCTAGGTAAAAGTGAAATTATAAGCAATGTATATATACTACCTTGCATCTATGTAAAAATGTGTGTATTTGTTTATAGCTATATGCAAGCATTCAACTAGTTATTTTATATATTAAGATAGTGTGATTGAAATTCTTTAATATTACATTTTTTCAGTAATTTTTTCCCTGTAAAGGAAGAAAAATTTATTAAAATCTTTTATATCCTACTGAATTACCATGTCAATGCATATATGGAAAGGAAAGGGGGTAAAAGGAAAGGAGGAAAAAAACACAAAGCTGTTTTTAATCAAAGACATCAAAGAGACTGATTACCCCCACACCCACATTCAGGTTATTTTGAAAACTAATTTTCCATTTTGTGTTACTGCTTATAGTTACATAAATTGAGACTCCTTAGGGTTGCTGGGGTTTTCTTTTAAGGTGCAACTAATACTTTAAAAGAATGCTCTTAATGAAGTTGTTTAATGATAAAACTTTTCTTCTTATACTATCTTCTTTGAGAAAAGGGATGCTTTGATGGAAAACACAATTAATGGGAGAAAGTAATTTTTGTACAGCAGTCAGGTAGGATAGTGAGATGAGAGGCCTTGTGGGCATAGATGAGAAGAAAATCACCTGGAGGAAAGAGAGATGTGAAATCTGACAGGCAGATGGGAGGACTGACAACAGTCTTGAATTGATTTTTAATTTTTCCCAGGGTCTGTTCAGATTCCTCAAGGTGTTTAAGGTCCAATGGGGCAAGGCAGGAGTATGACACAAGTAGCAGTGGATAATGCGTCCGTGCTGAAAAACGGGCCAGGAGGAAGTAGAATCCCTTGGCTGGGTGTGTTGCACTCTCGGGTATCCAACCTTTCGGCACCTCTGCGCCACACTGAAAGAAGAGGAGTTGTCTTGGGCCACACATTAAATACACTATGGCATTTAATCACAAAAAAAAAAACTCAGTGTTTTAAGTAAATTTATGATTTTGTGTTGGGCTGCATTCACAGCCATCAGGGCTGTTGGTTGGACACCCCTGCATGTTTCCAGAGGTCTAGTATCATAAACAAACTCCTTTCCATCCTTCCTCTTTCCTGAGGATCTTTTTTCTTCATATTTAACTTCTATAAAGAGCTGGATCCATATATGAAGGGCCTAGAGAAATATGTTTTTAAATTTTTTTAAATTTATTTTTCAGAGGGAGGAATAGGGAGGGAGAAAAAAAGAAAGAGAAACATAGATCAGTTGCCTCTCACAGGCCCCCAGTTAGACTCAGGGCACCCAGGCATGTGCCCTGACTAGAAATCAAACCAGAGATCTTTCGGTTGTCAGGTGGGCACTCAATTAATTGAGCCACACCAGCCAGGGTGAGAAATAACTTAAAAAGTTACCTACAGTTAGCTGGATATTACAGATGTACGTAATGCATGTTTCATTATATTTCCTTCCTTAGTTTGTTAATGTTAATTTACACTTCTATTGGCTGTATCTGACAAATTTGCAATTCACCCTCTTCCGCTTTTGGAAAATTTGGTAACAATTTTTAACTTTGTTTCCAGTTATATGTTTGTATGTTGAGATTCCTTAGGCTCAGTTATTCGCAGATTTATCAGTTTATAGAACTAGGCTACCCTGTATATAATCATTTATACATCACTTACCTGTTCTGAGAACAATCATCACAGCACTTATATCTCTATCTCCTGAGATTTTAATACTATCTTGTTAGAATAGTGTCCTTAATGTCTAGAAATGCAATTAGATAATTAAAAGTAACCTTGAAAACATTTCTGGACATTTAAGGACACTGTCTTAATGGTGTAGATTAGCTTTTCTTGTTTTAGTACTTTTGTAAGTGGAATCCTCCAGTGCACACTGTGTTGTACTACATTACTTCATAAGGTCTAGCAGGGTGCAGCAATACACTAAAAATGGGTGTGGTGAGGGGAGAGGTCTGCTCGAACTATACAGCTGTTATTTACTGTTTTCTGTAAGCCCTACTGGCTTTCTCCTGTATAAAATGTGATCCCTTTTGAGGGAAAAATAGTGTGAGAATATTCTAAAGGTAATTTTGGGTTTATTGACCTACATAAGTATAAGTAGATGCTAGGAGAGTAGGAATTAGAAACAGAAAGAAGTGAACTGTAATGTTTACTGTTTTCAATAGATGTTTTTGTTACATATTGGGAAAATATTAAATAAGGATTTTTAAACACCTCTTCCTTCCCTCTTGTCCCAGGTTAAAAATTCTTTACAACTCTGGCTGGTGTGGCTCAGTGGATTGAGTGCTGGCCTGGTCACCAAAAGGTTGCCAGTTCGATTCCCAGTCAGGACCCATGCATGGGTTGCGGGCTAGTTCCCCAGTTGCGGGCATACGAAAGGCAACCACACATTGATGTTTGACTCCCTCTCTTCCCCTCTCTCTAAAAAGAAATAAATAAAATCTTTTTTAAAAATCTGTACAGATAAATTCCTCTGTAGAATACAGTATAATGGAAATTAAAATCAGATTCTCCTATATTTTATCTCAAATAGCCATAAGAGACTTCCCCCTCAGTCAACTTTGATGGTAGAAATGGAGAGACAAAGGGTACCCCTAGTGGCCACTGCAACTATTTTACTCAAAGTGAAAGGCATTTGCAAGTAAATTATTGTAATGGATATGACTGATTTAATAACATTGGAATGCAAAAGATACTTAGAGTAAGCAAGCAGTGTACAATAATACCTGATTATTTCTAATGATCTGAAAAACATAAAGGTTTACACAGAATGTGAACAGAAATCTGAACATGCTTTTCTTCAGCTTTTAGGGATTTTTAAAAAGATCGTAAGCTGTCCGAAATACTGTCTTCACAGGGTGACACATCAAACCTGACTGTTGCCAATTATCATGTTTAACTTTTAATCATTTTGCCACTATACTCTTGGGTTATTTACTGCACTCACCACTTGTGTGATCCCTTGCAGTGGGTCTCCAAGAAAACAGTACAATTCTTTGTCAAATAGAATAAAAGTTACATAGATCAATGTTGTTACTGTATCACTTGTACTGAACTCATAAAAGCCTAACCCATTAGTGGATCTATGCACAGAGACAAATATACAAGTTAGGAAGGTTACTCCATGAAAATAAGATGATCATGTTAGAATGTTTGAAGCCCTTTCTGTTTCATTTCCTACAATGAATGAAAAAATGTAGGTATAGTTAGTTATATTTAATTAGGTCAGTGCAGTGACACTCTTCCTATTTTAGCTATAGGTGGGTTAACAAAGGATATATTTAGACTATTCTGAAAGAGAAATGTTCTTGTTAGTTGATTTCACAAGAAGAGTATTATTTATTATAAAATCCTAAAAGTCCATATAAATATAGAATTTAAAATTCTTAATTTGCAAACAATAAAATGTTAATATAGTGTAATCAGATCAGACTCATTAAAGACATAGATATGACTGAATAGTTATTTTTTACTTTACAAAATTTTTTAGAAAAAAATTAAGTAAAAAAAAACTGCCAGTACTTTGTATTGATACTTTCTAGCTTATAACCTAGAAAATTATCATGATCCAGGCATTTTTAACTCAGTCACTGTGCACATTCAATAGCTTGCATGCTTTTCTTGCTTCCAGGTGTACCCATCCTCTGTCTTATAAGCCATTTTTCTCCTCCTTCCCATACTGTTTTTCAAAGACTTAGTTCAAGCATCACCTACTTGAGGAGCTTTCTCCCCTCTGGATTCAGTTAATTGTCCAGCCTTTGTATTTTGATAGCATCTTGTGCTTAGTATTTGACACACTGTTGTTGTTTTCTTTTTTTTTTAAAGAGGGAGAGAAACATCAATGTGTGGTTGCCCCTCACATGCCCCCAACTGGGGACCTGACCCGCAACCCAAGCATGTGGCCTGACTGGGAATCGAACCAGCAACTTGTTGGTTTTCAGGCTTGGGCTGAATCCACTGAGCTAAACCAGCCAGGGAGACACATTGTTTTATAGTCATTTGTTTTTCTCCTGAGATTGTAAGCTCTCCTAATACAGGTAGGAGGACATCTTTCACTTATGTATTTCCAGTGCTTGAAACATAGCAGGTGCTCAGGTTTTGTTAACTGGGTTACATAAATGAGATGATAATGGAATCATTACATAAACATTTTAAAAAATATATAATGCATTAAATTTTACTATTAAAATCTGAAAACCAGAAAATGTGTATGTTCATTGCTATATTATTCACATCACATTCAGATTATGTTTATTTCTTGATTTAGGTATTTGTTGTTGGCAGAATTTGTGCTGAACGTACCAAAATTTATCATAAACTGAAGCATTTTAAATTCAAGTTGTACCAAGAATGTTGCTCCATGGCAAAGACAGGAGAAGTTGAAGATGAACAAGTTAAAGAAACAGTAGAAAGAATTTTCAGTCAGTCAAAAGAGAGTGGCTGGATTGAGGAGGTAAGGTGAATATAAAATAACCATCTCATTGAGTAAATTCTGGAGCCTAATTATGACCAACGAAAGGATACCAATGATTGGAAGTCAGCAGAATTTAAAAGAGAATCTCTCCTTCTCTCCCTGTCTTCGTATTTTCCTTTTTCACCCATTCCCTTCATGCTTATCACTGTCCTACCCTAAATAGGTGGTCTGATGTTCTAAGCATTCATTCAGCTCATCAGGTAAATTTTAATCAGCAATAATACTGTCCCTTAATGAAGGCTTTCTGTTTTCACTTTTATAAATGTGGTGTTCCTTACATATATATAAGTCCCCTTATTTTCTTTGACAAAGTACAGGACTCACCTCTGCTTGTCTGCTTCCTATTCTTTAGAACAGTTCTTGTGACCTGAGAGTGAAGAAGCACCTGGTGCCAATCTGAGGAAAGGATCTCGGCTGCCAGTCCTAATACCACCCACATCCTCTTCTTGAGGACATGGGACTTAGCAGTGAGCCCTGTAACTGAAGATCAAGGGAAAAGCAGAGGTTTCAGGCCACGGCACTGATTTTGACTCCCCCAAATCCTGTTAATCACTAAATTTGATATCAGGAATCAAGTGGGGGTTTTGAAGAGTGCACTGGATTCCTAAAGATCTACTGGCAGCTCATGAGCTCTGGTCTGCTCACATAGCTTTTAGAATTGTTTATATACATTGAAAGAATGCTAATATGAAATCTTTAAAACATATCTAGTTACATGAATGTGTAAGACAGAACATATAATAGATTTTCAGGCAACCCAGATAAACTGTGTATTTAATCTTAAAAAAGCCTGATTTGAGATCCATTGCCTGGGTTATTTACATCATAGGGGAATTTGTGGAAGAGGAAAATAAAAAAGAAGAGAGCTTAGAGAGTAAACTTAGGAGCAAAGAAAAGAAAAAAGAGAACAAGAAAACAGGAACTTCTTAGAACACATGTTCGGCAGAGGTCTCTGGGTCTAGAGAGTGACATCAGGATTGGTTTCCCTTTTGACAGTTATCCTCCCACAGCAAACCACCACCCAGTGAACTCTTTGCCTGCTCCCCACATCTTGGCACTTAAGTCTTGTTTCTCTCATTTTACTCTCTTCAGCTTTTTATCTTTTACTTTGCTTCTGCTTCTCTTACTCTCTGTGCTTTCCTCCCTGTCCTGGGTGCTTTTCAGTTTGCCTTAGGGAGGAGCCATCACTTATCCAGTAAGTCCTGTCTTCGTTTTCCTAGATAACATTAAGTTCTTAAGTGCTTTTATTGATGCGTTTAAGTGTTGCCAACCCTCTGGAGGAGTTGAAAGACCAATTGGGACAGCATATTTTTAAAGAATTGTGTACTAGGTGTAGGAAAATCACTGTGTATACACACACACACATATACATATGTATATATGTATAATGTAATAATATATCTGGGAAAAACAGTAAAATTTTGCAGAAAAAACTAAAACCATTTTTAAATTAAGTACCTCAGAGAAAGCTCAACAGGGTTCGTGACAACAGAAAAGATGTGGAAATAGAAAAAAATATTCTTAGGAAAAGAAAGCCAAGTGTCATATTGTGCTTAAAGAATAACACTTAGCATTGGCCATTGAAGGTGCTTCAAGATCGTACATGTTTAGGACAATGTGCACATTTTTTCACATAAAGTATCAAAGAGCTTTGTTTTCTTTTTGTGATCTCCCTACTTTAAAAAATTTGTCCATGGACCTTCTCAAAAGATTTTTCTGGAAACTAAAGAAGTTTATAGCCAGTGTAAACCCATATGCAGCTTTTTGTGCTGTGATTAAATTTCAGAACTGGTTGGGTGCTCTGACATTTTTCAGCCTCATTCTGCCTGCCCCTCAGTGTGTGTGTGTCTGAGTGATGGCACTACGTGTGTGCTGGTGATGACTCTTGCCTTCTTCTTTGGCTGCAGTTTCATGGCCACAGTTGCTCTCACCCTTTAGAATGCCAGGGCTCAATACTATTGAATGGATGTATATTTGTTGGCTCTTCTTGCTCTTGCCTCCCAGTTACTATGTCAGCCCATCCTTCAACCTTACACAAACTGTTTCTTCCTGTCTTTCTTCCTCCCGCTTGTTTCACACCTTGGTTTTTCCTTTATCTGCTCTTTCTTCCTCCAAGCATTTTTCTTCCATCATCTCAGGATATCTCAGCATTTCTTCCTCAAAACCTGCCACCTAGACTGACTTTATTCTTCTTGTTCCTGTTCCTAACAGTTTAACTAGGAAGATCTGTTTTTAACCTAATTACATTAAAAGTTAGGAGCAACTTGAGTGCAAAAAAAGAGCAAATGATAAAATTATAATAAAACCAATAAATATATAATATATGTCTCATTCTAAATTAGAGCTGAAAAACATACTATTATATGCCACTGGCAAAATTCTAACTTTTTTTGTCACGAAGAAGGTGTACATGACGTGGTTTGCAGGGCAGTTGAATGCAGGATAGTCGGGCTGGGGTGGTGAACACATGAACACCAGGAAGTGGACAATATATATGTCTGCACAAGTATCAAGTTTCAGTTTTATAAATGGGTTTAAAGCAAATTTAAATGTATTGCATAACTATTGTTATATAAATAAGAATTTTAAGTTATGATTGAATATCCTGCCACATCCCAAAACTCTTCTCACTTGTTCTCTTTCTTCACCCCTTTTTAACTTGAAAAATTTTTTTCTTCCACTCCTTAAACTGATGTTTCTCAAAACATAGCCCTAAACTATCTATGTCAGAACCACCTAGAACACCTAGAAGTTGAAAAATATGTAGGCCTTGGCTTCACAACAGACCTATTCAATAAAAATCCGTAGGTGATTCTTAGCAAATTAAAGATTGAAGACCCCTGCTTAAAAGTAAATGTTGCAGTAGGTCTTCTTCTCAGCCTCAAAACTCTTTCCCTTGGCAAACCTATTCCCTTTTCCAGGTCTAACTGCTACTTCTGAGTAGAAGACTCCAAGCTTTCGTTTATGTTCTGACCTTTTTCTCATACTCTATTCCCATAATTCCAAAAGTTTTAGTAGGTCCATCTGGCACTCTAACGGCTTGACATAATAAGACCCACACTCTCAAATTTTTAATAAAGAAAAATAATAGAAGCAGAATCTTTAGGGAGACAGAATGAATTGCAAGGCAATACTGCCTTGTCTCTGAGTTTACTTTCCCTTAAAAAGGTTTTTCTTTTTTCATACTAAAGCTGCACCCCTGCCCCCACCCTTTAAATCTCAGAAATGGCATATGACAGTGGTTAAAAGTATGGATTTAAATATTTTCTAACAATAGAATTTGGGGGCAAGTTTCTTCACTTCTGTAAGCCTAAGTTTCTCTTCAGTAAAATAGGAATTAAATAATAATAATTAGAGTTATTAATAATTAGGGTTTGATTGTGGAGATTAACACCTTTTAAGCATTTAATATAGGGCCTAGCAATTAGTAAGTGGCTATTAGTGAGTGGCTATTTTTAGTAATAAAAGCAAGGGTTTCCTTCCCTTAGTATAGCTCAGATAGACTGCAATTTTCCAAAATAAATTTAATAAGAGAAAAAGATAATATAAAGAAAAACAATATGAAAAGCATTAAAACAGTCAACATGTCTAAAGTATAGACTTCTAATCCTAGAGTATTTATATGTAATAGAACCTGTATGGGTACTAGGTCAAGAGAATCCCTAAGTAGTCCAGAGGTTGTTTCTTCTGTTCTTCATTCTTTCTAGGGAAGCTGATCAAGTAAGAGGTGTTTGGGAGTGGGGGTAAGGTTTCATGGCCCTGTTTGGAAGTCAAATGCACTATCCTAAACCCTTCCATAGACCACAAAAGTCAGGGTCATCACCTCATTAGGAGTAGAACCAGAGTTCATAAGTAGAGTTAAGAAACCATTAGTCAGTTAATCTCAGCTGAGGTAAGCACTCTGAACTCTATCAACCTTGAAATCTCCAAATCATCCTGACTCCTCTCTTTCTTGTTCTAACCTTATTTTTAACTCTCTATCTTCATTGCTATCACTCAAATTTGGGCTCTTGTTATGCAAATTATTACAGTAGACTGCTAACTAGTTGCCAAACTTCTAGAATGGATGTTTTACCATTTAAAACAAAATATATTTTGGATCATGTCAATCTCCTGCCTTAACACCTCTAACAACTTTGCACTGACTGCCACATTATTGCTGAACTCCTTAACCTAGCACTTCATACTGTTTATTCCCTGACCTCAACCTCTTTGGTTCAGTCTTCTCTCTCTGTTCCTTTAAAAAACCATGTTAGAGTAAAAACCCATACTTTCTTGTCTTGTCTCTGTTATATGGACTATTGTGTCCTACAGAAAACTCTCCCCACCAAATCTTTGCCTAACAAATCTTTTTTTTCCCAGGACAGCTTAGATGCTACTCTTTCCTTGTTACCTCAGTTCACCATGACCCCCGCTTCTGAAGCCTCAGAACAGTGTCTGTACTTCTTTATGGCATTTGTTATTGGCTGTTGTTGGTGTGTTCCTACTGAACTCCGTTCTCATGAGGGATAAGGAGAGCAAATTTGTTTTTTTATCTAGTCATTAGCTGAATATTTGATATATATTACACATTCAACAAATTTTTGAGTAAGTTATTGAAGTTGTAACACTTCTATAAATATGATATAAAAATACAATTTACAAGAAAGTTAGGAAATTAATAATAATGTTTGGTCTGATCTTTTTCCAATGTTTTATATGAGTTAGAAATGCTCATTTGAAATTGAGCCCCTCTTCATATTAAAAAGACTTAAAAGTTCATGTTTACCACAAAATGAAATTGTTCCTGTTTATGTCTGTAGATTGAAAAGGCCTAGCTTATCTTCATTGCTTTGAGTAAAATAACTAGCTTTTTTATTGTATACACAGAGATATGGTCAACTTCAAGAATATCTCAATGATGCGGATTACTTTCAAGATGAGAAGTTTGAATTGTAACACATTTCCTTCAGAGAAGATTTTATAAATTCCTGTAAATGTGAAGATCATGACTTTTGTTGCTCTGTATCATGTAACATTTATATATTGTATGTATGTCTTCATGGCAAAATATCTTGTTTAAAACATGTTCACCTTAATTTCCATGAAGTGGCACTCTACAGTCTAATAAAACTTTTCATCTGCTGTACATAGAGAACATAAGCTTAATAATTTTAAGTGTGTTTTGAAGTTATATAACAATACCTTTACGACAGATGATTACCATGTGAATAGCCATTCATGTCCTGTCACTTTAGTAGAAAAATACTGTATTTTTAAAATGTACATAGACCATCATTGATGTGTATTTATTGCTGAATCCCTGCCTATATCGATTTATTAGTGTGTCTTCACTAATAAATTTTTTTACTACTATCATTTAAATCAGTGGGCCATGGCAGAAACCTCACTTTGTTGTTCAGTTCAGTGCCCTTGCTCAGAATCAGGCTGTGGTTTACCCAGTCCAAATAAAGCAGATTTCAGGCCTGCAGAGTATTCACTGTCACTTCAGGAATAATTTCATAACATGTGTTTCATGCTTCACAATGTTTTCTTCTTCTGTTCAATTTTGTCTGTATGTTAACGATTAAGATGTATTTTATCTTTATCCATAATTTTTCCATGTAAGTATTTATGTTAGAATCAGAAAATCTCAGAGAGATAGATTCAGCCAAAAGTAGTTTAAAAGCATATTTTGACCCTGACCAGGTAGCTCAGTTGGTTAGAGCATCACCCCCATACTCAAAGGTTGTTCTATCCCCAGTCAGGGCACATGTAAGAAGCAACCAATGAACGCATAAATAAGTGGGACAACAAATTGATCACTCTCTCGTGCACTCTCTCTCCCTTCCTCTCTCTAAAATCAATAATAACAAAGTCCCTAAATAAAAAAGCATATATTTTGGCATCTTCATTGCTTTGCACATCTAAATTGTCTCATAATAAAGTAAAATGGCTTCAGAGTGAACAAATGGACCCTGTGTATTCTGTACCTTTAATTCCTAAAAGTGGTGTTCTAGCAGGATCTATTTTAGTGTGGAATTTTAGGTACTTGTTTCTTACTACAAATGTTGGTTGAACCTGGATTCATCTATTATATAGTACACTTCTTGGACTTCATGTATGTGCATACACCAAAAGCTACATTTTATTGAATCATCAAATTAATATTAATACTTTGAGATTAATTTTCTGAAGTTATTCCTATTATTGTAAATTAAAAAAGTAGCAAAAGCTCACAAAGTGGTGAAAATACTGATGCTGATGTTTCATGTGAGGTGTCCATGCCTTATTGCTGATGTCTGAGGTCATGGCAAATGAGCAAGCTTCTTCAGTGGGTGTTTGGAGAGAGAATACAAGAGGCCTACATGGTAACACCAAAGAATGAAAAAGAGACAGACTGTTAGGAAATGAGAATTAGTATAGATCAGGAGGCCAAAAGCAAGAAGTCTATTAAAAAAAACATGTTGAAAAATAGAACTAACTTTTACAGGCATTAGGACATATAGTATGATTTTTATCATCTATATCATTGGTACAGCACTAAAAAATAGTTTGTGAACTTACAAATCTACACATCTGTGAACTTTTTAGATCTGGGCATTCATTGCTATAGTGTTAGGTGCTTTGGTGTTCAGTAGCTATGAGTAGTAGATATGATGAGAAAGACAAACAGACAAGTGAAAGGGACATAATGCTTGAAAGAATGCACAAGGCTTTACAGAAGCTTTAGGGTTATAAGAGAGGGGAAAGCCTCATGAAAAGGAGAAAACAAGGAAAATATTTTTTATTTTATGGAGAGTTGAAAATAATTGACCAATTTTTCCTCAACTTGTCTGTTCTCATATTCAGGTAAGTGGTTCAATTCACCACTCATTTCTTGGTGGTATTACTGGACTTGCTTCTACTCCAGCATGTTGATTGAGATGTAATTGCAGCCTTTGAGCTATTTGGGGAATAGTCTGGCTTTCCTGTGATATCGAAGCTGTAGCCCAGTGGCTAAGAAAGCATAGGTTTGAAATCAGTCTTGGGTTTAGGTCCTTGTTTGTTATCTCCCAGTTACATGTACTGGAGCAAGTAGTTTAATTTTGATGAACCTCAATTCCCTCATTTATAAATGAGCTTAATAATACCTATCTCTTCAGACTGTCTGTATGTTAAGGGGGATATATGCTAAGGGGCTATGCCTAGAACAGTGATCGTAAATAAATAGTAACATGTGAATAGAAATGAAGGTGTGGTTGATGATGTCAGCTTGAAATTAAATGGCTATAAAGGGTAAATGTGTACAAAAGACATTATAAAGAAGGGTCCTAAATCACTGGAATATAATATGAAAATTTATTAAAACCTTGCTTGACAAGTTTGTAAGATGTCCCTGTCTAGGTGTAGAAATCGAAGTCGATACCATTTAGGAATAGCAGATTTGGTCAAGGACTCCATGTTAATCAAAATCCACACTACTGCATGACTAGAGTGAACAATAAGTTTTAAATTTAAATACTGCATTTATTCTCATCAAGTATGACTGCTGAATATAAAGTACCCATAGTAATAGAAAAGGTAATATGTAATATGACTTTTTAAAAATCAAATATAAAATGATCAGAACTACTTCACTTTTTAATGACACCTCCTGAGAGAGTTCTCATTCAAATTTGCATACGTAACCAAGGTATATTTTTGCCTTTCTCTGCATGAGTGGTGAGGAACTTAGCCTGGGGAGGGACAGATAGAAGCATGTTGCAATGAAAAGTATAAAAGTTCTATTCCATCAGGATGTACTTGTCCTCAATTCCAAATTAACCTTACCAGATTTGTGAAAATAAAATGAACAGCTTAGGCCAGCTTACCTGAAATTAATATTGCAAATAAATTGTCTCAAAATGTTTGCATTGATTTTACCCACTCATTTCTATTCATAGCTCACTTTGAAGCCAAACTGTGTTACTGAGATACCAAAGTTGGTTTGAATTAAAGTACCATTGCTTGAGACCTCAAATCCAGTGACTTCCAATGACATACACAGTTACAGCACTTATGGACCTGATTATCTCAATACTGTGCTACCCCTAATTTATTCTCCATAATTAATAGTGCCAAGCAGAATTCAATATATAGTTCGGGATCTTAAAGACAGGATCATCTGAAGATGAGAGACATCAGTCTGTGTGAGAGATGGATTTGGTTTGTGTTCTTAAAACTTCTTGAAACTCATCTGCTTATGTATTGATTTTCCTCCTTCCTGACACGTGTAAACCAGGTAGCCATGGAGACCTTAGAGCTTGCATTTATTTTGTCACTGGCAATCTTGCATTTTCAACAACAACAACAAAAAAGCAAACTTTTTTTCTTTTCTAGGACTAGTATTGGTAATTTCATCGTAAAATATTTTGTCACTCTTGATTTACTTGTGATCACCCAGGTCCAGAGACACCTGCCTCCCAGGAGCTATGAATGTGATTTCCTCTCCTGTCCACCCCCCTCTCCCCATTCCCAACACGCGCACACTCTCATACAGTCTACTAATGAACATTTCTTCAGTGCTCACCCAGCTCTCGCTAGGGCGCTTAGTGGTATCGTTTACAACATATTGAAAAATGAAAATGATATCCTCAGGAGGTGCGTAATGTAGGTCTGAAAGGGAAAATACATTCCCTGGCTGGGGATTTCTTAAATATTTACAGCTGATGAAGTGGTTGTGCAGAAGTTGGGGGATTTCCCCCGCCTTGCCCCTTCTGTGGAGGCTGAGGCTGAGCTAAGCCAGCGCTGGGGAGATGCACAGGCTTTGGGATTTACCTTTTTAGCCACTGGGAGGCCCTCTGCGTTCCCCTTTCCCCGGTGCCTGGCTGCAATTACTCACTCGTGCAGTGGCACCAGCCTTCCACCAGGGAGCCCCGGATACGCTCGCCCTCCCCTCCGCCCCCCTGCCCCCCACCCCATCTGCAGCTTGCTGGCTCTCTCTTTCTCCCTCTCTGTCTCACTCTCTCTCTTTCTCTCCCTCTCCTATCCGAGCACAATGAAAGCCTGTGTATCGCCGTGACTCGGGGCAGTGGAGCCAGTGGTCAGCAAAGCGGCTAACAACAGACGGGAAAGAGAAAGGAAAATACAAGCTACTTTTTTCCCCCATCTATAAAGCGGAGCAATACAAGAGATAGAAGCACATTGCTTATTGCGAGTCCAGACCCTCAGATCCACTGGCTGGGATGGAATGTACAAAAGTGGACAGAAAAGTGTCTGGACGTGACTCGGTGAAATTTGCTGGAAGTTTGTAAGTTTGACCATCGTTTGTAAATTACTCTCGGAAGAGTTTGTCTCTCTTGATACTGTATTAGAATAGAGCTGGGGGTGAGGAATAGAAACGTAAGCGGGAGGGGGGAAATGTGTTGAAGGATCTTTCTCAGTGGCTAGTGACTTCAGACTGCCTTCATTTAAGGCTAGGAAACAGAAGGAATGAGGATTTCACCGGTGATTGGATTAGCTGAAGAGAAAAGCATGGTCCAAAAGTCCAGTTACTGACATTGTTAACAATTGAGAAGCCGTCTCCCTCTTTTGGGAGAAGACATCCCACTGTCCCCAAAGAGGAGAAAACACCGGAACGAAGGGAAAGGGAGGAGAAATTAAAAGCCAAAAGACAGTCTCTCTTGATTTTTGTGTTTTCAACACTGACTTCAAAAACCTTCTAAAACAGCACTTATTTTTTAACCTGAGGAAAAGTAAAGGCTGCGGGTTACATAGACCGGGTAGCAATGCGTTTCTCAACAGAAACATCTCCGTAAAGAATTTCTGAAACAACTAGGTGAGGGGGAGTCCAGCTCTCTATTAATACCTCTCTCAATTCCCTTTGCTGGCTCTTTCTGTCTCTGGCTTGACAATCCCTGAATTCTTGCTCTAACCCCCACATTGTAGGTTGACACAGTACCTAGTGGCTCTCGTCAGCTTGGTGGGGGTGGGGGGACCCCGCCAACTCTGTCCAACTTCTCTAGAGCTGTCAAATGCAATTCGAGTAAGTTGATCAGAGTTCGTTTCCAACTTATCCTCTGCAATTGGTTTCTATTCGTGTTCCTCATCCTCTTTCTACCAACACCCCTCCCCCACACCTCCTCCACCGCACCCCCAACCTCTGAAGACCTCTATTCATGTGGCCCTGAACACTGAGCTCACATTGTCAAAACAGATTTTCCTGCAATAGCCAGCAGTAGCCTCCTTCCACCTCACCATCCCAGAGGCAGCAATCATTGTGTCCACCAAGATGGGGGACACAGCGCCCCCACAGGCCCCCACAGGAGGGCTAGGAGGGGCCCCTGGGGCGGGGCTCCCTGGAGGGGGTTCAGTCACCCCAAGAGTGCACAGTGCTATTGTGGAGCGCCTCCGGGCTCGGATCGCCGTCTGCCGCCAGCACCACCTGAGCTGTGAAGGACGCTATGAACGTGGTAGAGCTGAGAGCTCAGACCGGGAGAGAGAGAGCACCTTGCAGCTCCTGAGCCTTGTCCAGCATGGCCAGGGGGCAAGGAAGACTGGCAAACACACCAAGGCCACTGCGGCTGCTACCACCACTGCAGCCCCTCCACCGCCCCCTGCTGCCCCGCCTATAGCTTCCCAAGCGTCAGCGACAGCAGCCCCACCACCCCCACCAGACTATCACCATCACCACCAGCAGCACCTGCTGAACAGTAGCAATAGTGGTGGTGGTAGTGGGATCGATGGAGAGCAGCAACCACCAGCTTCAACCCCAGGAGACCAGAGGAACTCAGCCCTGATTGCGGTAAGACTCCTGGTTTTCTCATGATTCTGGCTGTGACCGTGTGGCCTTTTGTGAGGGTAGAGCTTGCCTTGGCCTGATGTGGAGTGGACAGCAGTGAAAGGGGCCAAGATGTCACCTGACTGCCTCAAAGGCCATTGGTTGTGCTATCTGTGTGGCATATAGTCTTCCTTATCAAGTTCTGCTGGTGCTCATGCACGGGTTTTCCTCCATGTGTAGGGTATTTCTTAAGTGGTAAGAAGCCTGAGTGGTTTTCCAGAGGCTCTCTGAGGTCCACAGCTTGTAGAAGAGGTGACTACAATCTGGCAAGGTCTGAGCCTCTGAGGAAGGCCAGGTCTCAAGGGTACCCCTGCTTTGGCTAGCCAGCCCTAATTAGGCCCGACAAGCCATTCTTCAGCCTGAAAACAGTCGATGCGACCTTTATCAAAGCCTTTTCCTTCTTGTCCCATTTCCCATTCTCCTTGGGTTGAGAGAACTCAACTGCTGATATGCAGCACAGAGAAGTTCCCTGAGTGTCCCCTCAGGAAAAAACAAAATTTGGAGGGAAATATCCCAGACCAGTGAAGGAATATTTTTAAGAGACATACTCCCTAATTTTCTATAGGTTTCCCCAGTTCTCTCTCCCATCTAGCAGTTTTTTCACAGACACTACAGTGAGCGCCAAATTACTGCATTCGTTAAAGAGGGCAGGCACAAAGGAGCTATTGACATGCTATCACCCTAGGAAGTACCTTGTCTTCAGCCACTTCTGGTGACAGGACATCAAACTTGAAAGTTCTGATTAAGTTTCTGACTAGAAGTTCTTCCCCAGAGGCACAGACACACCCCATCCCAGAGGGAGTATCCCTTGATCCTTGATGCCAGTCCTGGTCAGGTGACAGCTTGCCTGCGTGTGCGGGCTTCCCGCCTTCCTCTGAAGCTGTGGGGCCAGTGGCCTCTGAGGCGAAGGTGGAGCCTTGCCCTGCAGCCCAGCAGCCTGCAAGCTTCCTCCATTTTTGAGTTCTGGGGCTTCTGAAGTCCTGTGTCTGCTCACAGCACAGCTCAGTTTGCCCAAGTCAGCCCTAATGAAAGTCAGCAACAGGAAATAGCCCGGCAAGCTGAAAAGTACTCTAAAATCCCAAAGGAAGCAGGGCACTGTGTCCAACTTCTCCAAAGGAGTTCGAAAAGGAGCTCTAGGGGGAGGATACCATGCAGACCAGTCCTTAGGATGCTTCTTTGTGGCTCCTCATTATCCCTGGTCTGGTTCTGTGGGGATGAAGTTTCCAGAAACTCTGGGGACTAGGAGGGTGCCCCACCACCACCACCACACACACTTCTTGCTTGGGATGCCTGGAACTGCAACTTCCTGGCACTGACTCCAGATGAAAAATAACAGCTAACAGTTAAACTGCGGAGTGTTTGCTGTTTTATCCTTGAATAAAATTAGTTTGTGGGGTTATATTAGAGCTTCAAGAACTAAGTTCCTTTCCTGTCCACCTGCTCTATCCCCACCTCTGCCCAGAATCCCGTCAGAGAGAGAGAGCAAGGGGAGTTTGTTTTGTGAAGGTGAAGTGGTGAGGTGAAGGGGGTGGGTCAAGAGTCACTCAAATGGCGAATTTTGAGAAGAATGAGGTTTGGCTGCACGTGTATGTCACTGGCATCTGTAGCCAAAAGTATCTAAATGCCTTGATTGTCCCCAGTAAATTTATAATCTGCCTGCAAGTCTCCCAGTAATGTGGTATTGTGCGCCTCACAAGTCTCCTGGTAAGTGTTTCTGGGGGTGATGCAGGAGCAAGGTGCCCAGCCCTCTCAGTGGAGAAGACTGATCTCTGTCCTGGGTGCCAACACTGGATGTGGGCGTCACATCCTAGCCTTCGCAAGGAAGGTGGCATGCCTGCTCATGACCTTGTTCTTTTGGTTTTTGCTTTTCCCCAGCTTGGAAGTAAGATGAGGCTGCCTTTTTTTAACTGGGGGGTTTGGGGGTGCGAAATGAAACCAACTTCAGTGGCATTGTAACTTTATGGTTAGCAATATCCACCTTGGGAGGAAGTGAGAGAACAGTGTCTGGCCTTTCCTGACTGAAGGTTTCACTGCTGCAGAACCCAAAGGTACCTGCTGTACCACCCTGGTCTAAGGGAATCTGTGTTCTCTCTCCTAGCCACCAACCATCACCTGAAACAGCCCCTCAGGAGTCTGCCCTCTCTGAATGCAGTGAGGATGTGAGGGGCCCTGTGAGTTAGGGGTACAGAGAGCACTTCCCTTCTAATCGTTGCTTTTCATTGAAAACGTGTGGGATTGTAAGAGGTGACCCACCACTCCCCTTTTGGTTGTTGGAAATTCCCTTCTCCATTTTAGCTTCTAAATTTGGTGCTTTGTTACTCAGCTGGGCACTGGAGAGATGGTGATGCAAATACTGTATTGACCTGATAACATTGTGTGCGAAGGGAGGCCTGGGCATTTGGGAGTGATTCACCAAGCCGATTAGACCTGCAGGTCTCACTTCACTCGGCTCCTCTTATTTTCAAAAACACTATTAATTTAAAGAGGCCTTTTGTGCAGAATGAGTGTCAGAATTCTTTCTTAATTGTGTTGCTCCTGTATCCATAACCAGATTTATTTCTTTCTGGGTATGTTGAATCTATCACTTTCATAGTTAATTCGTATGCCATAAGTGGCCATAAACATCCTTTGGAGAAAGGCAGAGAATATTGATCATCTCAAATCAAATGCATACTGTGTCCTTAGATGAAAGCTCTGTATCCTGCATACCTGCCAGCACAATGCCTTGTATATAATTGGGAATATTTGAATGAGGGTGAAAGGGAAACTTCTGTTCCATAGGATAGTGTTGACTCTGAGGGGTGTTACAGTGCAAGAAATATATAATGTCTGAGTTTTTTCAATAGCCTAAGATGTAAGAACAATGCAAGAATTACCTCCAAGCCAGTTCTAATTCCGTCCACATTGAGAGCCTAATTCAGCAGCCCTTACTCAGCCAGTTTCTTCATTTAGCTCAAGTACAAGTTCAGGGGAAGCCCCATTGCTGCAAGGACTGTCGGAGCAGAGCCTTTTAGAGGGCCCGGATTGTAAGGCTTTAAGCAGATCTGCATTTCTAACCACTTGGAGCAGGCTTTAGGCACTAAATCATTTTCTGGTGAAGTATGTTTGAATCTCTGAATGGACTGTAAAACTGAATAATTGCTGGTCCATGGAACAGTACGGTTTAGAGCTTCCGTGGTGCATTATTAATCTTTCCCTTTTGCCTGAGACAAGCTCTTTTTCTGTTGCATCCACTGTTGCTAGGATGGGCAGATAAGTGGTTCCAAGTCATCTTTGGCTTTAGAGATTATCTTTTCTCTAATGTAGTGTGGAGGAAAGAAAGCAGATCAGACAAGGAGTCTGCACCCTCGATTCTGTGCCTGCTTGATCACTACCAGCTGGGCGACCTAGGACAAGTTACTTAGCAATCATCTGTAAAGCGCAGAGAACAATAACACTGCCCTGGGTTGTTGAGAGAAGCAAACGAATGTGTGTTTCCGAACAAGCTTTGGAAAAAATAAAGCACTGCAGAAATGAAGGCATTATTACTAGTATCGCTAATAATAAACTACTGAACAACAAATCATAATACTCGTTTTCCCAGGGATTAAAAGTACACTTAAGCTTTCAGTTGTCTGTTCAAATGGTGAAACAGCTTATTGTAAATAGAGGGATTGGTGTTTCAAATTCAGCGCTGTCAAGATAAGACTGAGTTATCAGTGTACTTAAGTGTTCCTGAAGGTCCCAGAAAACCCTCGTTAACACGGGCAATGCTGGGGAACTGTTTAGGGTCTCTGAATGCACATCTTTCATAGGCCCCTGTGTGAACCTGAGCAGCTTCAAAAAGGTGTGTCACCCAGGCGCCTGGGGGATACTAGAAAAGTAGTTTGCACCAATGGCATGGGAAAGTTAAATATTTTGTCAGCAATAGTCTAAAATGTTAATTGTTAGCTTAAGAAAGTCAAACAAGTTAAATCATTGCCAGAGTTCCCTGGTTATTTTTAACTGATAATAATCAAGTTTCCAATCGACAATTCAAAATTTGAAAGCTCTAAATAGGGGGCTGAGAACAGAACAATTTATTGGCCAGGTCTTGGTTTCTGTTGCTGTCTGTGTGATAAACGTTCTCCCCAGGACAGCGATAGGAGTGTTTACATTATTTATATATGCAGCCATCAGTTCCTTAAGAACTGACCTATTTTTGTTCTGTTTTCCAGAACAGAGTAATAAAGGGAGAGTTCTTATCTATCCAAGACCTTCCTACTACTTCTTTCAAGTAAATACAGTTATAAGATTTCACAAAGGCAAAAGAATTCAAGTGGAGAGAAGTTGGTACAATCCTTTCTCAGAAATTGACAGCAGGCTCTTTTCGGCAGCAAAGTGATGTTATTATGCCAACCAGGGTGTCTTGCTTGTTTAGGTCAGTGTTTATCTATAGAAGTCATCTGCTTTCTTTAAAGTAATGTCACTGTTATGTGATGGCCATCACATTTTTCTAAGCTTTAAAGTTTCGTACTGTATGGCTTCCCTATGCCAGCACACCTTTTGGGAGTACTGAGACAAGCATGGCTTTTCAAGCATTCTTGGTCATGACAATGAAATATGACTAAAAGAGTGGCCGTGATTAGCAGTTTTTGCTTTCACTGGTGTTGTGTGTATTTACCACTGCAATTTAATCTCAAAAAGCCTAGAAGGAAATTTGAAAAGAAAAAAATCCAGTTCTGGTCTGCATGGCAGCTAAACACTTCTGAGTGGATTCTACCACTTCCTTGTTCTTTAATCTGTCCTTGTATATGTTCATAGGCAGGGCTGTGTGTAAGGAAAACAATTTTAAATTCTTTCTTATGCATTTTCATGCTGATTTCCCTTGTACTCAAACAGGCTCTGTTGGAGAATAGAAATACAGCTAAAGACATAGTCCCTGCTTGCTTACAGTCTAGTAGGCCAGTCAAGACCACATCGATAAAGTATTAGTAGCAAAAGTA